AGACAGGGCAACATAGCAATTTTCTATGCCAAAGTGAATGTGTGCTTGACCAAATCTGGACTTTCTGAGGTCTGTTCTCTTTAGTCCCCAAGCTCAGTTTTTGTGCCCCAAATTGCCCATGGCCTTAATTTCTCCCAACGTAGAAAAATGTTAGAGTGTTAGAAACTATATTTTCTTGATTCTCTTAATTCTTTTTTTCTCATACAAAATTAGTTATGGTCTTTGAGAGCCTTTGGTATATACTTTTAGAATGAAACCCTTTTCTTTGTTAAATAAGCTTTGACTTTTTACATGTGGGTGAAGGAGTGAAATGGTCTTTCCTTGTAGTGGTATGAGGCATATTCTGTTGCCTGCTACCACTGATGATAAAAGAAATCAAAATGAATTCTTTTCTTGCCCAAATATAAGATTAGGCCTTTTTGCTTAATTTTAATGTAATGCTAAAACTTTTCTCCTCTTTTTATACAAATTTATTAGAAAAGTTGATACTGTCTGATTTTATGTTTATGCTTAACTCCTTTCAAATCCTTTGAAATGGCTCCTAGGAAAAAAGTGCACACTAAAACTTGAAGTGGGAAGTAACTGTTAGTAGAGGAAGAAGATCAGTGGCTCAAGACTTGATAGTAACTCTCATTTGAGTATTGACTGCCAGAAAATTCTCATTGGTGCAAAAAGAAGCATACCATTGTCCAAGAGAAAAATAGCAGAAAGCCCAGGAGGTACTCAGACAGTCCTCTGGTGGGATTGTGCAGATGTCCGTGATGTGGGGGACAACAGGATGCTGCAACATAGAGTGACTCTGTGACCAGAACAGGACAGGCAGTGGTCATATCTTAGAGAAGGGGTGCATCGTGTGGTATTAATCAGTAGAAGCAATTGAGAAGCCCTTCTACAGGGGACAACATGATCTAGTTAAGTTACTAAAGCACCACTAGCTGTTTCGGGGAAGCAGACAGATAGGAAGATTAGAATGGGGAGTCACAAATAGAACTTACAAATAGAAGTGCTACTGTTTTCTTCTGCCCCAGTTTAACTTAACATTGAGCACGTCTAAACAGTAGAACATGGAACAAGAATGATGGCAGTGGAGATAGTTAGGAGACGGGAAATAGGAGGCTGCACTGACAGGATTTGGAAATTTCAATAGGGGAATGAAAGAGAAGGGACAGAAAAGGGGACCCTGTATTTATGGTCGGTGTAACTATGTAGATTTAGAGTGTGGTTAGTTAACAGATGCACAGTAGTAAACTAATGTTGCTTGTTAGAGCACTGTACCAGAATGAACATACACTGGCTAGTACCTTGAGTCACAAGGCAGGAGGCCCCAGCAACACGTTGTGATGAAAGCAGAGTCTGAGCAGTGCTTAGAGAAGAGCAAGCAGAGAAATGAATGTGAAGACAGGGGATCTTGTCTTAGAACTGTGAGACAGTGGCCAGGTTGAGGAATTATAGGCCCCTCACCTTCTGGTTGTCTTGAAGTTTCTTAGGCTAGAAGCAGAGTCATTGATTGTACAACTAAAAATAAATGATTGACAAAATACTCAGTGGACTGAGGAGTATGAAAACTGTTGCCAGCACAACCTAATGAAGGACCAGAAGTTTATCAGTTAGTAGCTGTCATCATCAGATTTGCTTACAGGAGAATAAAATGCATTTGAGGCTATAAGTTTGGGAAGGATTCCCAGAAACACAGGAGAGGGAAACCTGACATAAACAGTTTTGCCTAAGATTGTGGTGAAAAAATGAGAGAAATTCTAAATGATATTTTTCATGTATGAGTATAGTTGCATGCTCCATTTCCAAACCCTGAGCTATTATGTATATTCAGGAAATATATACATAATATTTTTCATGTATGAGTATAGTTGCATGCTCCATTTTCTGAGCTATATGTAAAGATTTCTTATATTAAAATTTGAAATAGTACTTGTGAAAAATAGTACTTTAAAATGCTCACTGCTTTGGTTGAAATTTACTACTCATAATTGTCATGTCTTTTGGCACAGTGGGTGCCATTTACTTTCTTTGTACCTTTTACCATGCAGGTCGATGTACCACTGTAGTACTTGTCTCTCTTAGGTAGCATACAACAAACACAGGCCCTTTCCATTTTCTCCCTGTCAGTCCTGGGGAAACAACATGGGCCTCATGGGTAGTTTACCAGCATGGATACTGATATTGGGCCCACTTATGCATGCAATAGACCAGCTTTCTAGGGAGTGCAAATCAGTTCCAAAGCAGTATTAAAGCAAGTGTTAACTCATTTAATCCTCAGTGAAGATGCTACAGTGGGGATATCTGCATTACAGGTTGCCTTAAAACTAACTGCTAAAAATAGAAACCTCTATTTTTAAAAGTGTAAATGCTACTGAGGATGGTGCTGCAAACCTGTAATCTTAGGACTCTGGGAGGCTGAAGTAGGATAGAAAGGTTGTTTTCAGGGTAGGCTGTTTAGGTAATGAGTCCCTATGTGAAATGTGCAAAATGTGAAAAGATCTAGTCAGGGCAAAGACCTTGGGTTCAATTCCAGTACTACCAAAACAAAAAGAATGAATGCTAATAGTCTACAGTAGTAATTTTATTTTATAGTAGTAATTTTATATAGTAATGCAAACCAAGTTTAATAGTGTGCCATTTTCTGCTGCTCATATCTTACCCAAGACTTCTGTTTTCTGCTCAGACAAAATATCTGATGGTCCAAATACTGAGGGCTGGGGCAAAACCAGAAGGCCATTTCACACACTGCTGTGGACAGGAAGGAATATGCTCGATTCTAAGGCCAGAGTAGTTGATGAGTAGCAGTCTTTTTTCTCTAAAAGTTTGATTTAGGTTTTTATATTTCCATTTTTGATACATTTTTAGCATCCCAGTTTATGTTTTTATTTGCAGCTCATCCCAATTTCTGTCCTAATCAGTGATATGGCTTTTTTTAAAAGTGGGATATCTTTTCGTAGGTAGAATGTAAAAGTAGTTGAAATATCAGTGCAAGCCTTACAATTATGCTGAAATCATATTGTTGGACTTAACCTGAATAGTGAATCCTCTTTCCTATCTTCTTCTTTCCGTCTCTCTTAACTGAATGAAGAAAAAGTTAATAGTGGCAGTATTAAGCAACAAATGGTATCAGCCTTATGCGTATGACAGAAGGTAAATTTAGTCTTCAGGAAATTTGGACTTGCAGTAAAATTTTAGCAGTCTTGTCAGAATATAGGTCAGTGTTTTACTTGATAGTATAAAGTAAAAGTGGAAAGACACCTAATCCAATATTGTTTCTTAATAGTTTAAATTGTGAGAAAAAGTGGGAGTTCTTGGTTGGAACTGTTTTGTCCTAGTGCAGTGATAATGAATGGTACATCTGCATTCTGACAATTACCAGATGACAGTTTGCTAAAACCATTGGTAATGTGATGTGGCAGTTTCTTTGCTGTCAGAAACAAGATACTTTATAGGTGTTTCCTGTGAGTTTTTTTTTTTTCTAATTGCTGTGATGTGTGTTTCCTTTAAAATATGGACTAAAGGAATTAGAGGGTAAAACCTGAAAATTAGGTATGTTTCTTTAATAAAGATTTTATTATGAAAGTAACTATAGACATCAGCAAGACAAAAAACAGCTTAAACTTAAAATGTAATCATTGAATTTTACTAACTTGTTTATCTTCTTTGAGATACTCTCATTAGCTTCTTAGACATTTAATATATGCCTGTGGTCTTTGTATATCTTAGGTTATTAGTATAAATATTGTGCATGCAACTTTAGTAATAATAGGTTGGGTATCTGGATATACTTAGCAAAGGTGTTATGTTGGCAAATATCTCCAGTATGTAATATTTTAAAAATAAGACTTAAATTAATTTGATTATTTTGTCTGTTTCAAAAATGAGTAAAAAATTCTTTTGATCATTTGACTTACTGCCGTTTTCATATGTGTATTCCCTAAATACCAATTGGTTTGGTTCTGTTTCTACTGAAACGTTTTTAGTTAGCTAACAGGAGTTCTATTATTTAAAGAATTTAGGTTTAGGGAAATGTAAAATGCTGTCTTGTTTGCCTTTATGTGATCTTTTTTGAACAATACATTTTTAAGCTATTAACTGCTCTCTTTGTTAATATCAATGGAGAAAGAAAGTCTTTGCGTGCAAAAAATAATTTCTTTAGGAGTTTATAGAAAATATATTGTTTAATGATGGAAAGTTTTAGATGTCACAATATAAGAACACATTTTATGTTTTTAAGTACCACCTTGATGTTGGAGAAGCCCTTTCTCTTTATAAATTATTATTTTCTCTCTGATTCTTTCTTTGTAAAAAGAATTTACTTCATTGACACTTCAGCTAAATTTTAATGTAAATAGCCAAAATGCAGTCACATATTTTTAGTATTTCTTCAGATATGTGTACATGTTGAGAAAAAAACCTGTAAAGTGTGGTTTGTTAAAATAATGATGAATAGTTATTTTCAAAGTGCAAAGCAAATGAAGATATTTTATATCAGTGCATGTACAACTGTTTCATTGCAGCAGATGGTTTATAATCCTCAACTGTCAGAAATGAGTTAATGTCATGTTGAGCCAGTCTTAAGTTATTTCCCCTAAGTTTTATTCAGATGCAATTCTCCTAAAGTGGGAGGGTAGGTCTAATGAAATTTACTCTAATAGCTATAGATCTTACTTCCTATACTTCATTTTTATTAACTTTAAAGAAATGTAATCCTAGAATCAGATTGCATTCTTTGTGCCACTCAGGAAAATAATTAGGCTTATAAACTCATCATTTGATCTATGGCTTATCCTAGATCCACAAATAAGATTACGTATAAATTATTTCTACAAGCTATGTTAAAGAGGATGCATTCTTATTAAATTACAGCTTCCAGGATGAGGATCTAGATAGGATGTATGTATAGACACATTTTGAGCCTTTCAAAGCACCTGTTAGTTAATGTGAAGTTCTTCAGATGGCCCACTGTCCTTGAAGCTTCTAACACCAAGGTGTCTTTGCAGCCCAGAGCCAGGTTACTGCTACCCAGGACAGCACTAATTTGCGATGTATTTTCTGTGGTAAGCAACATTATGTTTACATTACTTTTTCAAGCTGTGGTACATACTACTTGCACATTTCCATACCTTTTGTTTCCTTAGCCATAGTCTAGTCTGTGGTATCTGGGATGTAGAGCAAGCTGCTGTTTTTATGTTGTGATATTTGTTGTGGTTCATGTAGGTGATTTGATCAGCTTTTGAGTTGGCTTATTAATTGGATTTAGTTAGAATCTTATAAGTATTTTTGTTTATCTCTTCCAATAGAAATGAGAGATAATTTTGTTCGATTTTGCTTTTAACTATTTTGTTGGGGGCAAACTTTACATTTAGAATTTAAGGAAAAGATTTATGTCCATTGTTAAATATGATGTGAGGAATATACATAAGTCTTATTTGAAAGAAGCTTTTGCTTTACTTGAATTAGTTTTAGCTATGCAACTGTAAGAAGAAGATGTAAATTTACTACTTGCTTTAATAGGTTGATGTGTGATTGACAGATTTATTTAGTAGGTTTGGGGGTCTGTCTCTTAGAAGTAAGCTAAGACTTTTAGAGTGCTTTTCTTCACTTGCTTTCATATGCATATGTGCCCATGTATATACTGTCTGCAGGGTTACACTAAGCTTGTCACTTAGCCACTGAGATTAGAACTAATAGATACAGATTCTTATCTTTATATAAGGAAATACATATATCCTTTTATCCCCACTTGATTCTGAAACTTACTGGTTTAAAAACCCAAGTTTTAAAAAATCAATTATTTGAGCATTTTTTAAATTCATATGTACTTTTGACTTATAGATGCCTTGACTGGCCACTTCATCTTCAGAAAGAGATAAAAATATAAAATGATGTACTGCAAAAGTGATTCGGCTGTGTATGATGCCACATAACTCAGAATTTTTAATGTGGTTTAATACCAGTAATATAGTATTATTGTTATTGTTTCCTCAATTTTTAAATTTATTTACTGGTTTGGCAAAAAAAAAAAAAAAAAAAAAAAAAAAAAAAAAGGAGAAGAGATTCTATTTGATTTGCCCCAGGTAATACTGTTATAGCAGTGACCCAATTATGTGATTTTTTTTTTTATTAAATTCCCCTTCCTTCTGGATTCTGCAATTAAATATTCCAGATTAAGTGTTTAATCAATAGAATTATTTCTCAAGTTTCTACTTACTGGCCCATCTTTTGAAGTAGCCACAAATGATTATTGATACTTGTATTATTAGGATTATCTTTAGCTGGTTTTGAAAAGATGCTGTAACTTGCTCCTTACAAAATTGAGGTCCACATGCAGAATAGTAAGTTCAGGGAAAAGATTGATTTGACCCCAAAAAGCTGATACTTTTGAAGTTTATGAAATAAAAGGCTTAATATGCAGGTTTTTTTTCTTCCCCTATTGGTACCTTTAACTGTACACAAATAATATAATTACCACTTTGATAAATTAAAATTTGATTGTATTATGTATAATAACACCTATTTGTCTTCTAGTCCTGTTTTAAAATAGTCTCATTAAGTGGGAAACTAGATTTGTGAAAATTTAAATTAAATTTAAATGAGGATATTAAGTGAAATGTGCTTTTCCCAAAATTCAGTATTGAAGGCAAGACTGAAATGGCTACTCCTGATTTAGAGAGAGGTTTTAATCAGGTTTCCATTACTTATGCCATACTGTATCAATGACATTGCCACATTTTTTTTTATTAGAAGCAAAACTTCAAACACTTTCTATGTATCCTTCTCTAGCCAAAACAAACTAAAATCAGCCATTGTCTTTGGCTCTGGTAATAAAACATGGAGAGAGTGACTCTCACATATCAGCAGCTGTGTAATGGAACAAGGCAGCCTGTGAATCTAACCACCACACGATGCTCATAAAATATTGTCATTTGCCTGCTGAAATGGTTATGAAATTAGCCATTTGTATGTTACGAACACAGATACCCACATAGGAACACGAGCTATGTGGAGTAATAGTTATGGAGCAGAAAGTGTAGTGGCAGCTGATAACCTTGCCTAATCTTAGATGCTGCTTCACGTTACTGGGGGTAGCCTTTGGTATTTCTTACCAGTTGTATAACCTGTTAGAATGTTCAACAGGAGGAAAGAAGATAATTGTATACCAGTAGTTCATAATTCACTTGGGACTTCTATTTAATCTATCACATTCATGTTTATTTTTAAGTGCATATAAATTTTACTGTGCTAATTTTCTCAGCTTGACAAAATTGATGAACAAACAAAAAGTCAAATTATAGATGTGAGAAAATGCCAAGGGGAGAGATTACTTTCTTCTTCTCCAGTTATAGAATGAAAAGACAGATGGTCCGTTATCACAAAGAACCATGTAGCAAAGAATTTTAAGAGTTGTTCCTGGACTTGAATTCTCCCCATTTTAAAAGGATCTCCCTTAAAGTTTATTTTTTCTGTTTGTTTTATTTATATATTTTTGCCTTATATGCAGGAAATAAACTACAGTAAATGATTTTTATAATTAATGATATTAGCCACAAAATATTAACCACATTTTAAAAGCCTTTCTAAACAGGTCTGCTGAGTAAACCTGTTAAGCTTAAGAACATTCAGAACAAGCTCTGTAAATTACTAAAAGATCTTTTTCATTCATTATATCAGATTTGTGTTTAAAAAATCTGTTTTCATAAAGTAAGATTGAGTTGAAATTTTGACATTTTTCTTAGATTTATATATCTTAAGTTAAAACTTAGATTTTAGTTAATGAATTTAACACACTAAGAACACTATTGAGACAATGCATATTCTAGATGTGAGCAAAACAGTTAAAAGCACTAACAAAGTCTATAACCAGCTGACATTCAGCTATATTAAAATTTAGAAAGCATAAGGTTTTTACTTAAATTCTCAAGTAAACTTTGTTTTTATAAAATAGTTAAATCGTAATGATTTTGTAGATTAGCTGTGCCAGATGCTTGCATTGTAACAACTTTAAATGAACTTTGGTTATACTTTGTAAAGTACATTGTCCCAAAATTTTACACTTTCTTAAATTTACCTACCTCAATTGTATGTCCCTTACTTTCTGCCAGAAGGTGGTAACTTTTTCTATAAAATACTAAATACTAAGTTACGGCCCAGTATAAGTCTTTCTTTGTGTATATTATTTTGATAATTTTTCCCAGGAAAGTATTTTAGTATGTTTATTGAACAATAAAGTCACATGTTTTTATTTATACAAACATTAATTTGGCTGTTTGTTTATTTATTTTTGTGCTGGGGATTGAACTTATAACCTTGTGCTTGCCAGCCAGGCACTTATGCCACTGACCTAAATCCCTGGCCCTTGTTTATTTAATTTTGATTGAAAGAATTTTGGTTTTTGTTTTGTTAGTGATTACATAGGACTAAATATTTTTATATTTTATTTGGTTCCGTGAATCTTAGGAAATCTAATGAAATATGTCACTATAATTGTGTAATTTGTCATTTGAGGGCAAAGTAAATGGTTAACCTAAAAATACTATAAAGAGTGAGGAAAAAGTAGGTAAGTTTAGATAAACCTACTCCTGGGATACACTAGAAGTGTATTACATCTGATGAATGTTTGCTTCTTATAGTGAAGCCCACTTCCAGATTATTTATGCTTTTAGCCCACAGAGTACGATAATTTGCTTTAAACACAGAAGCTTGTGTTTACTTACTTTTTAATACTAGTTTTCTGCAAAAAATATTTCAGAATTTCTGCTTAACACATTTAGTGGCACACTAAGAGTTCAGAAAAATATACAGTATGTCATTTCTCATGTATTCCTCTCCAAGAATAAGAAGTAACTATTTCTTTACTCTCTCATTTACTGGATTAGATTTCAGGATTGTTCTAGTTTACTCTTAAGCATTATATTAGACTCAGCATTTTTATCTCATTAAATTTTTATATCCAGTGACATTAAAGTGTCCTGTCATTTAGTAGCATTTAAGATGCTAAAAGTGGGTCTGCATTGTGCACGGTGTGTAGGAATGGATGATCTTTAATTCTCACAACAGAACCATGTCAGTGTGAATGTTGGTGGTTTTTTTGATTTCTTTCCCTTTTACATCATATGAAAAGTTAAGATTGTCTTTGTTACATTTAAAAAAATCAGATAAGTAGCCAGGCGTGGTGGCGCACTCCTGTAATCCCAGCACTTGGGAGGCTGAGGCAGGAGAATCGTTTGCAAGTTCAAGACCAGCCTAGGCTCCAAATTGATCCCTACACCAGCCTGAACTGCATAGCAAAACCCTGTCTCAAAAAGATCCCCTCCAAAAAAATCAGATAAGGAGGTTAATTTATTATACAGAAATTTAGCAAATGTTTGTTTGTACTACTTAAAATTCCAGATCATTAAGCAAAAACGGCAGCTAATTTGGGCAAATTTGATAAATGCATTAGCATACTTCAGTCTGGTAATAAGGTTCTCATGCTCTCTCTCTCTCCTGTTTTTCATTTCCAGTGTTCTATTTAGGTGAGTTTTTGAATTTTGATTTTTCATTTAAGTTCTCCTTCTTCACTTCATGAACAGTTGCCCCAAAGAGAATGTTTCATTGTCTTAGAAAATGTCAAGCCTAGGTGCCTATTCAGATGCTCATTGAATACTTATTTTACTCAAGCTTTTCATATATCAATGTTTATTTTTTCCTTATTGTTGATGTTTTCCATTTGTTTCAAGTAAGCCTTCTTGGAGATGGTGACAGCATTATGTTGCAGTCTTTCATTTGCTCTGTGTTATATAAAGCTTTTATTTTATTTTGCTAGACAAAGAGAAGATACATTTGTAAATATGTGATGGTTTTTATGTTACTGTCATGATTTTTAGCTCCTCTATCAGGCTATATATAAAGATAATGTTCAACTGTAATGTTTTCCCTTTGTAGGGCCAACATTGCCTAGACAGAATTCACAGCTACCTGCTCAAGTTCAAAATGGCCCATCCCAAGAAGACTTGGAAATTCAGAGGAGGTAAGTTTTCAAGTTGCTCTTTGTACTCTTTCTTTGTATTGCAAGAGGCCAAACTCTGACCACGCTAATACTGAGAGTAGATTACTAGCCTTTGACAGTTGCAACTTTTGCATTAGTAAGCTTTGGAACCATCATTACAGAGTAGATACATGTCTGGACACAGACATTATAAAATTTCTTAGCTGCTTTTTTGTGAAAAGCATACTCACAGTACATTTAAAATATTTTAAATGCACCTAACGGCATACAGAATGTCCTTACCCTTTCAGTAAGTCTTGTTTGAATAACAGTTACAGTGTGTGAACAGTATAGATTTCACATGACCAACCAGAAAGTTGAAAACTTGTTGACTGGTTCTATAATATATTATCTTGACATACTGTGATAGATTTCAGTAGAATGCAAAATTATCCTGCTTATAACTAAATACTGGTGGAACAATGTCAGCAATATCATCATTTCAGTATAATCTGGAAATACACTTGAAATTATAATGCAACCTCACTTAGTGTCTTAGTTACTTTTTACTCGTCGCTGAGACAAAATACCTGAAGCCCAAAGTTGGGAAAGGAAAGGTTTATTTCTTACAGTTTTTTGGAGGTTTCAGTCCACACTCAGTTGGCTCCAAGACAGGCAGGCATGGCTGGGCTGCAGTTCATGGCGGCCGCCAACAGCAAACTCGAACCAGCAAAGAGAAAGACATACCTTCTTCCTGCCATTACATCACATCCTGGCTCCACCCCTATGTGGGTGGAGCACTGACACCATCAATCCAAGCACTATACAATGAACCATCACATATGAACAATGCAAACTCATGAGGCCTGGGGGACACAAACATAAACCATGACACTTAGCGATAGATCTTTCGAAGTTAACTAAGAGCCTCAATTGTACAGCTATGTGTAACAAGATTATATTATAAGATTCAGGTATATTCAGTGACTAAAATTGAGCTAGTCAAGCCACATGTCCCATTTTCAAACACTTTTAGTGATGTTGATATTGCTTTTTATTACTGTCAGCTCACTTCTGTTTGTTTGGAGGGTTGATCACTATTGCTTAATGGACCATTCTTATATGGGATTTTCCATGCAGAGCATTTGGTACAGTACACTGGCATTTCTTATTGTGGCCTTTGGTTGATAGTTCACATTTCAAAAGATTCCTCATTTTCTGTGTTGTTTTAATCTTTGTGTTCTGTTCCCATGGTTGGCTGAGAATCCTGGAGTATGTTATTAGCTCTTGAAGTTCCCCTGAGATCTCCCAGAATGAATTTTGCTTGTGCCAGAGAGCATACGTATGTTGGTATAGTCAATCATGTCATTGCAGAAATAGCTTCCAAATTTGGTGAAAATCAGATCTTGAGTGATGCTATAATAGATATAAGTAAAATTCTTTCTGTAGAAATAAGCTTAAAAGATATAGTAATTTCAGTTCTGAGAGTTTTAAAATCAGAATAATTAATTCCAAGGGTGAGGAATATGACAAAATAGAGAAATATTGAATAACAAATGACCGACCATACTATTTTTGAGAATAACATGTGTAGATAATAAGGAAGAACCAGAAGAGAGTGCAGACATAATAGAAGAATCTCTAGTTTTCATGTGGCCCAGCAAGTAGCACCTGAAATCTTGCCCACAGATCAAGCCCTTAAGGGTAGAGGCAGGAGCCACCCCAAGGTGTTGACTTGGTAAGGTCAGAGGGTGGGCCACTGCACAGGGATCAGACTCTAGTTAGAAATGAGTGTCAAGTGCAGTGCTTGTAGTCATTATAGAAACCACATGCCTCATACTGATTGCCTCTCCTGTCAAAGTGCTTACCTAGAAAGGCTCCTTTGGATTTGGTTTTTCAGTTTATATGGACATAGATAATTCTACAGTATTTGAAAATAGTTTGCTTAAAATCAAGGTTGTTGGTTGCATTACTCATTTATTTAGTTGAAGGCTATTCCATCATTATGAAGAATAAAATTCAAATTTCTGAAAGATTGGTTTGATTTTTCAATTACTTTCTGTCCATAGTTGTGCACTAGATTTTTTTTTTTTTTGTAGATAATTCTTCCATAGGATAACAATCAATTTCTTTCCTGTCCTTTTCTAGTCCTTTTCTTTGTTCTCTACCCATTCCTGTTTAGTCTGGTGAGACCTGCCTTGTCTTCACAAGTCTGCAAGCCATGCTACTTCTATCACTGACTGACTCCTGGTTTACATTTATCAACTTCCATTTGTTCTCCTGTGTCTTCTCTGGTACTTCAGTCTCTTCTCAGTGCTGATTATTCTTCCTATATGCCCTTTCTTGGACTGATTCGTTTTCACACATAAATCGTTAGGTATTTAGTTTTTCTTTATGCATGCTGAGCTCTGAATGAGTGCTTTTGTCTGAGATCTACCATCCATTCCCAGGGGATACATTTGGTGGGCCAAAGTAGGCCCATCTCTCAAAGGGCCACACTGTCTCCCAGCATTGCCACCTGGGAGCCTGTGCCTCCAAATTATAGGGTCACAGACTCTTTCTTCAACCATAGTAATTGAATGTTGTAGTTCTCTGTTAGCACTAATGTCTCTGCTAATGCCTTCCAAACCTATAGCCCAGCTTTGAGCCTTCACTTGCTATCCAGAATCACAGATCCAAATATCCTCAGTGGTCCATGTCATGGCTGTGCTGTGCAGTGATTGTTGTTGTCTGTAGGTCCATGGGTGTGGATGGGTGAGCTTTCCTGGGGGACCCCACAGATGCCCCTGAAGCTCCACACCTCCCTTTCTGTAGTCAGTTGTCTTCTGTGGGTATGATGTTCCATTCACTGGACCAGGCTTTGAGGAGAGCCTGATAACCAACTGTCCTGTAGACCTTGAGAAATTTGTGGCTCATCTCAATTCCTGCCCTGTCTCCCTGTTCTCCCCCACCCCCTCAGGTGGGGTCTTCCAGGCTCCTCCTCCCTTGTGCGCTTGCAACTGCATTCCATTTCACAGTGCCTCCACTGCTCAGTCCAATTACATCCAGGCACTGCCAAATGCTTAGTACACGTGAGACAGACAGTGAAGGTTGTCTGGCATCTTCACCATCACTGAACTTGGTGGTGTAGTACGTGACAAGTGCTATGGGGAAAAAAATAATGAGATTCTTTGCTATAGAAGGGCAAGGGGAAGTGCTGGATGTAGATCTTACTGAGGTGAAAGAAAAATAAGGAGCTAGTCAAGCAAGTACCTATAGAAGCATAGGAAATGGTCACTGCAGTGGCACGAGGTACCATGTGAGCAAGAAGTCCATTAAGGATGGAGCCAAGCAAGACTAGAAGGGAGGAAGTGCAGGAGATGAGGTCCAAGGTGGGGCCAGATCAGACAGGGCTGTGATGTTACTGAGAGACCATTCTGAGCTGAGCTGAGGAGTGATGCGACTTGCATATTAATGGAATCAGACCACAAATGACAGAGGTAGGGGTACACTGTGACAGCAGCTGGACAGGAAGGTAGCTAAGAGGATAGTAACAGGAAGGCAAAGTCAGGCCCCCCAACCTCCATGTCCTGCTAGATCCCTGGGAGGCAGGTATGCTAGAAAGGGCAGATTGAGGTTTCAGGCTGAACTGGGAAGGTATCAGAGATGAACTGGGGATGTGGGGTTGAGGCATTCACTGGGCATCTAAGCAGAGCTGTGGCGTAGAAGCACTCTGCCTAGAGGAGGCCAGGAAAGGAAGACTGGGCATGTACTTCCTTTTGGCCCTTTCTAACCTCCAGAAATGTGATACATTCACAGTACTAGTAACCACCGTCCCTCAACTCTGCTCTGTCACAGGTGCATTTGTACATATTTTATGGTTCTGGAATTGCAGCAGAATTTTGGAGTGGAAGATATTTTAGCTGCTCTTTCTGCCAATCTGAGGAAGAGCTTCACCGTTGCAGCTTTGCCTTCTGGTCCCTCCTCACACCCAGAGCAACTCTTTACCTGGCACTTAGGAGCATGTGCTGTTGTCATCTGGCATCCCTTGCCACTGCCTTCCTCTAGACCCTACCCTTGTTTCTCTGTGCTGGTGTGTGTGCCATTGGTCTCTGCTGTGCCTGCCTCATATTTCCTGCGTTGTCCTTTTCTGTACTCTTCTCCACCCACAATAATACCTCTTTTTTCTGAATTCTTGTAACTTAGACAGTTTTATATTTTCTTCTAAAAACAAAAAACCAACTACAAGTGGTGACGAATTTAATAGGTCAGCAAAAGCTTAAATCTAAGCAAAACTGAAGGCAAAAGGTATAAGCTGTAGTGTTGCCCACCATCAGTGAGCCACCTCATAATGCTTCATGGCTGGATAGGTCCCTGTAGCTCTTTACCCCACCACTCAAAGAAGTGACCAGACACTTATTTTCACGGGGGCTGGGCAGAGATCCTCTTAACCAATGCTGTTCAGTGGAAATGTGGTGCAAATACCCGCAGTTTTGAAATCTTAACCAGGTCACATTCTGGTAAAATTAATTCTAACTGTATATTTAACTATATAAAATATTTTAATAGATCATCAATTTAAAAATTGTAGAGATATTTTACATTGTGTGTGTTAGACATGGATTTTGATGCATAGAGCACATCTCAATTTGTCCTGGGTATGTTAGGAATGTTCACTTGCAGCTCTCAGGCTGTTGGTTGCTTATTTGAAAGCACAGCACAGAAGACCAGGGAATGGCATCCTACAGCTCACTGGCATGTTGATTCTACAGCCTTCTTTTGTATAGTCAAGAGGTAAGATGGGCTTTTACATTTTTTAGTGTTGTTTAAAAAAGAAGGAAGAGCTAGGGATATAGGTCAGAGGGAAAAAGAGAAGTGGATGAGCAGATACTCATCAGGCCCTTTTCATAAAAACTTGGCCAACCCCTACTGTAGCTCAAGGTACACCAGGCAGAGTTATGGGGTAGATGAAGTGCCAGCTGGAAGGAGGTTAAATGTAAGCTATCCAAATGGGAAGAGGGTCTTTCTTTTTCTCAGCAGATAGACTCCAGAGCCAGACCTGCAGTGCCCAGGCAGGAGATCAAGATTCCCCTTAGGAATCACTGTGGCCAGAGAAACGGCAGAGGTGTGTGCCTTGGGGTCCAGCCAAGGAATCATTTGCCTAGGTGTTCTGGCCAATCTCTGTTCTGTGAACAGCCTCCCATAGATCTCCATGCCCCATAAGACAGCTGTGTCACCCAAGGACAGACCCACCCCTCCAATACCAGAGACACTCAGGCATCCCAGAAAAGATCCATCATGTGAGGAACAGACCCCCCCAGAACTCATAGGACCAACAGCACAGGTCTACTACCTGAGGACAGACCTCAGACACCAGGGACCTAAGGACAGACTAGCCAACAGGAAGCATGGATTTTGAGAAAAACTGATATAAAACAGTGCAGATGAATGCCTGTAAATAAATGTACTGTCATGAAACAGCTGGGTGAATGTGTTTCATTTGTGAAACAAAATTGGTAGATAGCTTTGCACAGTGGCAGTATCATGGCCAGTGAGGTTTATCTGAGACACGATTATTGCTAATTGAAAAATTGGTAGCTAATTTTAAAGAACCTGTAAATTCTCTGAAAGAGTAAGAAAATATATTAAAACTTTAAAAAAGATATTAGGGACTGGGAGAGAAACGGGAAAGAGGAAGGGGAAGAAGAAAAGAGAAAGAGAAAGGAAGAAATGTTTGAGGAAATTTCCCTGATATAATCATCATAAAACTTGAATGTATGGTATATGAGAGAAAATAAAAATAAGAAAAAGTGGTACAACATCCATTAAGAGTTATTGGATAGAAAAAAACAAAACTGTAAGGTATATGACTCTACGAATATCTAACTTAGAAAATTTAATGAATTCAGTGATTTGTCCTTATCTAACTTTGCAGAACTTTTCTGTAAGGACCAGAGAGTACATCCTTCGAGGTTTGTAGACCTAAAGGTACCCGTGGCATTTGCTCACATCCCATTCACTCACATCCTCATGTAAGCGATGTGGCCAGTGGTTTGGGCAATAGTTTGACCTCTGGTCTACACTAAAAAGGCTCATTAATGCCTGACCCCACAAGTGGGAAAAACAAAAAAAGAAGGACTGCCACCAAGGATGACCATGAAGTTATAGCCACTAGCCAAATGCTGTGAGTTTGTTAGGTGTTTTGGTTTTGGTTTTTTGGTGGTGATGGAGTTGGAATCAGGCCTCAAGCATGCAAGACAGACCCTCTAACGTTGAGCTATAACCCTGGCCCTTAGCACACATTCTAGGAGGGAGAGATCTCAGAAGCTTGGGCAGGAAGATTAGAGAACTTCAGAATCCTGAGGGACGCCTTCCCCAGTCTCAGATCATCTGCATAACCTCCAGGAAGCCCCTGGAAGGTATGTTCTGTTAAAATGAAAGAGCAAACAAACCAAGGTGATGATTGTGAGGACCAAAAACTGAGAAAGTGACTCCATATCTAGTGGACGAAACTGGAGCCATCCCAGGCCTGGAGAGGAGGCTCAGAGTTCTGAGGTCACATTGGCAATGAGTGAAGATAGGGACATAGGAAAGATCAGAGTAAGAAATTGTTCTGGAAAATAAATGTGATAAGCAGTGAATAATAGGGTACCTGAGTATTGGTGGGTTCAAAGTGGCATTGCAGTATTACTGGAAGAATGGAGGAGAAAGGGGGAGAGTTAGAGTTGCAGAAATTAAAGCATCTGTGTAAGAGGAAGTCAGTAAATAGCATCTAAATCTGAAAAGTCAAGAGGTGGTAGTTCTAAACAAATTGCTGTGTTTGAAAACATGAGATAAATACCAGAGCTGAAAGTAGTAGCTTTTCAGTAAAGAAATCAGAAGTGGTGAAATAGGTAAGCAATGTGAACTGAACCCAAGGCCTTAGCACTGACCTACATCCCCGACCCTTGTTAATTTTCTACTTTTTGAGACACACTTGGCTTGAATTTTAGTCCCCCTGCTTCAGTCTCCCAGAGTGCTGTGATTATAGGTACACAGCACCATGCAGGATGCTGTTTTATTTTGAGTCTTGTAATACCCTTTTTTAAACTAGGTATTACATTTATAAGTTTAATGTTTTACTTTTCATCAGCAAAGGTGAGTTAATAAAGCATTTACTTTGTACGTTAAATTTATTGATCTAGTACCTTTACTATAATAACAGGATAGTACAGTTTGGTGTTCATATGTATGTCATTTATTGCATCAGTTTCAGTTCTTACTCATTAATGATTTAGCATCCTTGGTTGTGATGGAAAAGTATATTCTAAGAAACATGAGTCAGTCTTATGTTAGTCTCAACACAGGACATAATTTAGTTAATATCTATAAATAGTTTGCAAATCACTGTACTGTCTGAAAATTATAAGAGGGACTAATGACCCAAGCACAGAACTGTGGGCTACAGCAATGCGAGTCCACGGCCCCCCCGTTAACCGTCAGAGGCAGGATGGACCCAAAGTTGATCGACTTCTGTTGTAAGTACTGGCTTTTGTCTTGTTTATCATGTTAAAACTCTCTTTTTTTTTCCCTTCCCTTTTTGGTGGTACCAGGGATGAAACTCTTGACCTCACTCTTGCCAGGCAGGTGCTTAGGCAACTGAGCAACTGAGCTAAATTCTGGGCCCCCAAAACGCTACTGTCTGAAGCGTATACATTTTTTAATTCATTCACTCATAGAGAAGTAAAATACTGCATTATACAATTAAAACATATATTGTATGTATGATTTTTGTTTCTGACAAATGTTAATAATGTGTTACTGAAAGTTATCAACTCGGGATATTTTTCATAGTGTCTATTATACTTCATTGTCAATTGAATTCCTTTTGTATTTACCTGATAACTGTTTGTTTGTTCTAGCAAGGCTGGATGAAAAGCTTTCTGAAATTTTCTTATTTATGTTGTACATGTTTGAGTCAGTCATAAGCTAAGTACTTGTTTTATTCTGTGTATGCTATCAGTAGGTGTACTGTTAATCAGCATACTGTAGGCTGATATTTTTGTACTTGCTTACATTTAGGAGTAGCTCTGTTGGAGAGAAATATTTTAGTGATAGGAGGGAATTAAAGTTTTACTGGTCATTTGTACTGGAGGTGTTTCTGAAAAACATACTGTTTTTTCAGAAATTTACAAATTACTGTACAGTGTATCCTATCATAAAATAAATTAGCATGTCAGAATTAGTTTACAATTAGGAAATCAGTATTTTGACAAACTGTTAAGCTGTTTCTAGTTATGACTGAAGAAAGCAGCCAGTGTAGACAGATGTCTAGAATGGATTTGGGGCACCTGTCCTGCATTCCCAGTATATGAGCTGGTGTGATAATTGTGAGAAAAGCAAATTTATCCTCTGGCTTTAGAGGATACAGCATTGTCTGATTCATAACCAGTACTGTTTTGGTGGGAATTACTATAGCATGCTACCAAAGATACATACGTCAAATTTTCTGTTAGGCATACTTTCTTAGAAATTGTTAGTAGGTAGACTCTTTTTGTGCACAGACTTAAAAATTAGCCAAAGATGTTCAACTCTTTCTTCCTTCAAGTACAGATCTGCAGACTCATGAACTGCCTGTTTGAATCGTCTGTCAGTAAACTTGGGAGATGCATTCTGGCTGGTGCACTCCTCTTGTATCAGTAGATCTGTCTTCTGTGGCCTGTAAGTCTAGGGATAATGTTGTGGAACAATCCTATAAGTCAGATCCCCCAACACGTCTTGTCCCCTTGCCCTCTGCCTGCTGAGTCAGCATTGGCTTTGCCTGTGCTAAAAGCATTGCATTGCTTTGAAAACAGCATGAACTAAGGGGTAACAAAAATGAAGAATTTGACACAAAATGCAGTCATAATACCATGTGGCTCAGCTGTGAACAGAATTTAGTTCTTATGTGTTTATGGGACTCTCAGTATCCTGGGAGCAAGCTGCTATTAGAGTAGTGATAACACCAAAGTTTGGGAACTGCTGAACCAAGAGCAGGAAGCCAGTGAGAGCACTGGAGAACTGAACTGTTAAGTTTGGCCTGAGCTTTAAAAAAAAAACTGTTATTTTGATACAAATGAAAGTGGAGGTACAGAAATCTAAAAAATCCTAAAAAACTTATATGTGTATTACAAACCCAAGTTGAATTTGTTCATTAGATGTGGTTAATATTTAAGTGACTTTTCTCTATCTAGTTAATTTCAAACATTTTTCTAGTTTTGGGTCTAATTGTTTGCCGTCCTTACCACAGTGAAACAATTACCTGTCAAAAACTTGGGCAGCTAGAAATTTACCCAATAGCATAAGTCAGTACTATATCCTTAAAATCGATTTTATTATTTTATTCTTAGCCACTTATAATGAGCCACTCCCACAGGATGCTTTTGCCTTCTTGAGAGTTACTGTTAGACATGAGATGTGTTTAGAGAGAGAGGCTGTGTGTTTTTGTGCAAGGAACAGATGGATTTACTTGTCAGAAGGAAGATTTGGAAAGATCTTGGTTACTGAGGCTGCTGGGAGGAACAAAGGGCAGCCTGTCTTGATCTCTCGTGTAATATTGCCTCTTTGTAGAGCCCGCCTGGTTCTTTAGTCCAGAGAAAGTTCCAGTGTGATATTTTCAAATATTAATAACAGATCACATTTATCGAGTATTATACCCTAGTATTTTTAAAAGAGGTTTTATTACTTTTTTCTTTCTTACAATGCTATGAAATGCATTTGTAGAGCCTAACTTTTTTAGGGAAGATTGACACAACTTTTCTTAGAGGTAATTTGGAGCCATATACAAGGAATGACCTAAAAATACGTGATTATTTTAATTTTTAAAAATTTATTACAATATAAAGACACATTGCCATTAATCCTTCTCAAGTCCTTTCTCCCCCTTTCTTTGAGCACACTTTCCCATCTTTCTAACCACTTTCTGAAGCAGCTCTGGAAGTCCTCTAGGTATAATCAGAATACCACAGCTGAGTCCCGGCCTAGCAAAGATAGGCTTCTAAAAAGCATTGCAGAGTACCTTCTTCCACCTTACTTACTGGATCTGACACTGGAGCAACTTCTGGCTCTTCCCTAAAGTCAAAATGACCTTGAAAGGTAAACATTTTTCAGTCCATTTAGGACATCAGGACAAACAGGATAGTGCAACTTAAGATACTGAATGAAAAAGGACTTCCGGAGCTACTTCAGAGTGTGACAAGAATAATAAGATATGTGTATTCAAACGGGACTATGTTAATGGCTACGTGTCTTTCATTATAATGATTTTTAAACATTTAAACACAGTATTTTTTTTTATCATACCTCACATTTAAAATCTTAAATATATGCCTTTCTACCCAGCAGATATGTGTGTCAGTATTGATCCTATAGAAGCAGTTGGAAGAAGATTCGAAGGTGAAGATGAGTGCTTATTGCACTATCAGTAGTAGAACTGGGGTGACTTCCATCCTACAGTAGGAGACTGCTTGAACTCTGGAGAGCTAAACAAGGGGATGTGTGCACTTACAGAAAGTGCTGCATACTCTGCCTTTGGATAACCCCACAGTGTATTAGAGAACAGAGTAGTAGGGAAATGGAGTTCCAGTTTATTTGGTCTTTCAAATTCATGTGTACATTATTAGGTGAGGGAAAATTTAGAACATATTTGTATATATCACAGTGTTAGTGATAGTTGCCTCTGGATATGAGATTTCAATGCCTTAAAGTTTATTTCTTCCCTTTTATGTAATTATGTATATTTAATCCAGCATCTGTTTATGTAGCTGTTGCTGTGAGTGGTCACTGTATCTGCTGAAATGATAATTTATTTCTTACACAGCTAAAATTTGATGTTAACATTTTAGGAAGAAAATCACACACAGTGGTTAAGTGATGACTTGATTATTGGGGTGGTATGTCTGGTTATGTGGAAAAATACCCGCAAGACTTAGAAAATAAAGTGGGACTTAAATGTGCTGTGCTGAAGCATCTAGCCAATCCCATGCTAGTAAGAGACTATGCGCATTTGTATGAAACCTGTTATCACCAACTAGCCTTCCTTCATATAGAAGAGTAATGTTAACGTTATACCCTGTGTTCCTTTTGATTCAGAAATAAAGTAAACAATAGTTCATTTATAATGATGATTGGCCATAGATACATTTTAAAAATTTTTTATAATTTTAGGCAACTGCAAGAACAGCAACGACAAAAGGAGGTGGAGAGGGAAAGGTTGGAGAGAGAGAGGCTGGAAAGGGAAAGGTTGGAGAGAGAGAGGCTGGAAAGGGAGCGCTTGGAACAAGAGCAGCTGGAGAGAGAGAGACAGGAGCGGGAACGTCTGGAGCGCCTGGAGAGGGAGCGGCTGGAGCAGGAGCGGCTGGAGCAGGAGAGGCTGGAGCGGGAGCAGTTTGAATGGGAGCGAGAGCGCAGAGTCTCTGGTGCTGGTAAGGACCCCACACTACTGTGTGCCTATAGTGCCCTAGGATGAGGGTTTTGTTCAGGTGTTAGGTACCTGAGCTAAGCCCGATCCGTGACCTCTTGAATGTTTCCTTTTCATTTCTGTTTTACTTTTGTTGTTTAGAGTTAAAGAACTCTCAGCAGTTTTATTTGGCATTCTAATTCTAACCTCCCTATAAATTGGCTTATAGAGTATATTTTTATGGAAATTTTTTATATTAGATGAACTGGGAAGCTACTCTCCTCACAAAAAATGTCCAAATTGTCTCATATCCTGTATGAAGTAGTATAGTACCAGTCAGCAAGAAATTAGCTTGATTATAATCTAAGGTTTTTGAAGGAGAAATTAAAGCAATAGGTGAAAAGTATTTTAAAACTGACTAGATATTTAAATGTATTATGTATTATTATACAAAATCTGATGGAATTGATTAAAAGACATTAAGATATGTCTAAAAATCTGAAGCATTCTTTAAAATTAATATCCATTATAGAATCTAAGAATTTTTATTCCTTATGGCGTATATCAAAAGTCCCAGTATGGGCTGATTAGATAGTGATTGTTAAAGTTAATCCATTTGTTTTGACTGCCTAGTTGTTTTCTGGAGTTGTAACTAACAAAACAACTCTTCCTCAAGTAAGCATTGAAACAGGAAGTTCTTCACCCTTTACAATAAATACTTTGCTAGTTTTTCTATTTGTTTTTTAAAAACTAAATTTATTCTTCATATGATTTTAATTTTTAATGGATTAAATAATAAAAGTTAAGACAGCTACTATCCCTTTCTTATAGATAAATTAATCTTTTTAATTTATTAATGTGCTTACTAGTAAAAGAAAGTGTCATTTTGTGGACCTCAAACTGTATGTTTACAAAGTGAAAATTCTTGGGTGAAAATGGTTATGTGCACGTGTGCCCGACTCTGTACTAACTGTAGTCTGCATTTATACAGTTGTCTGATTGCTGGTTTTGTGGCTTCACTTGCTCCTTTTTCTCTCTCCTTTTGTATCCTGTCTCTGCTGCTGCTCCCACCTCTGTCCAGCTCCGTCTCCAGACAGCCCCCTGTATAGCGCTCCACCTCCTGACTACCCCAGTTGCCAGCCTTCTCCAGCACCTCCTCCACCACACGCCAAAGTCATCTCAGCTCCAGTGTCAGACGCTACTCCTGACCACGCTGTTGTGGCTGCTTTGCCACCTGCTTCCACACCCCCTACACCACCACTGCGACACTCAGCGACACGTTTTGCAACATCTCTAGGCTCAGCCTTCCACCCTGTTCTCCCCCATTATGCTACAGTTCCCCGTCCTCTGAACAAAAACTCTCAGCCTTCTTCCCCTGTGAACACACCCTCTTCTCAGTCTCCAGCAGCAAAGCCCTGTGCCTGGTCCCCTTCTAGTTTCTCTCCTCTCCCTCCATCTCCTCCTATCATGATCAGCAGCCCCCCTGGCAAAGCTGCCGGTCCGAGGCCCGTCCTTCCTATCTGTGTATCTTCTCCTGTGCCCCAGATGCCCCCCTCACCGACAGCACCTGCTGGGCTGCTGGACTCTGTGCCATGCCCAGTGTCTCCACCACCTACCTCAGGGCCGCCGCCCCAACCACCACTGTCCCATGGCAGAACTTCACCTGCCCCTCCTAGCACCCTCCTTGCCTCAACCCCCTCATCCAAGCCCAGTGTTCTCCCTTCTCCCTCTGCAGCTGCCCCTGCCTCTGCGGAGACTCCTCTAAACTCTGTGCTGGGAGACTCCTCTGCTTCTGAGCCAGGTTTGCAGGCAGCCTCTCAGCCGGCCGAGACTCCAACCCTGCAGGGTAAGGCTTTTGGCGGCACTTCTGGCAGCTCACCTCCAGAAGAATTGGTGGCCATAGCTGCCACCTGGAAGGAGGGGAAGAGGGCTTAATAGTGGGACATTAAGATGCCAGAGGGCCATGTGGGGTTTTTTTCCATTTGGAAAATTAAGGTGAAAATGAATACTTTTTATTCTGTTATATCATTTGCATTTTGGAGTGTCAGGAAGGGGAACTTCCATTTTGCACTAAATTTGATACCTTGTTACTACACTTTCATAAAAGGTGTTTTCTAGTAAATAGAGGTAGTATACAATGGTGAGGTAGTAATGCAATGGTGCCACAGTTCATGAACTTAATTTGTTCCACAATTCTGGAAAAGATAACCATGTTCTTGTTCACACAGGAAAGATGGCATGATCCTGTTTGTCATCTAAAGTAGTTTGCAAACAAAAACAAAATTTTGCCAAACACTTCTCTTTGCAAACCAAACTGTTCACAAACAAAAGTATTGGTGAATTAAGGTACCACTGTACATTTCTTATAAATTTTACTGGGAAATCTTCATTTGACTTGTTTGATTTTTACTTTAAGCAGTTTTACTTCTGGGAGACTCAAAAATAAACTTAGTGCTGGCTAGGGTCCTGATGTGCTCTACTGAGTCTCTCCTATTGTAGTTATGATCTGGGGACCCCATTACCAGACTTTCAGGGTAACCTGAGCCCTGAAGCACCCTGGCTATTGCAGGAGGGTACAGAGGGCAATAGGCTCACGGTGTGCCCCAAGGGTGACATGGCCCCCACACCTGTGGTATGAGATGATGATGCCTAAGTAGGGAGGACGTGGTTCTGAACATGAATGAGGTATCTATGACCTTGTTTGTGGTTTTTGTTTTGTTCTTGTTTAGAATTTAGTGAGGATTGCAAGAGAATGCTGAAAACAAATTGGTAGTTAACAGCAGTAATCTTAATTTAAACATACTTCTTTAAAAAATCTTATTTTCTAAAATAAATGTAATAAGACTTGTTATCACTATGAATATTTTTGTTTTCAACTTACAAAATTTTCTTTAAAATGGAGTCAAATTCTAGAGTATGCAATTTAGGGCACAGGATTTAGAGCTATAGTGGTCCCCTGTGCCCCTCAAAAGGGGGCAGATGCTCCTCTGCCTCTTCCTGAAGCTGGAAGAATTACAGTTGTACTCATGCGTGCTTTGTCCCAAAGACCCCTTTCAAGCCTTTAAGAAGGGAGTTGCCTACTAGCTTGATATTCTGATATTGAGTAAATTCCTATTCAATCCCTTGGTAATTTTATGAGATTCAAACATTTCTTATGCACCAACTTGAAGGCTAAACACATACTCAAATTCCTTGTTACTTTCTTAGAGTTGTATCAAGATTTTAGTTGCATTAGTAAATTCCCTTTCTTCAGTGATTCTTAACTTTGGCTGCATCTGGAATTTCAGTGTAGAATATTTTTAAGATACTGGCCTGGGACCCAATTTTCCTTCACATTCTGAGTCATCACTTTGTGTGTAAACAGGAAACACCTGTCTTCATATAGTAGAATATCAAGATACACTGTCTCAGTATTCACATAGATTATTTGGAGTATGGCTTGTCAAATAGCAGTAACTGCTACATTTACCTGTTTGTTGGTTTGTTTGTTTTTTAAGGAATGTCTACCTCACAAATTTTGTAAGCATCTATTTTGCTTATTTTTCAAATCCCCATGGAAAAAGTCAAGTTAGATAATCTGTTGCATAGTTCATACTAAATGTCTAAATATTAAATACTTACATATACACATTGACTTTATTTTAAATCTGATCTAGACTGTAAACATTGTAGTAAATTAAATTCTATGTCATATGCATGTCAGTCACCTTACCTGCATTCTGCGTACTTGTCTTCCTTCATAAAGTGTGGTTGCTTAGCTCTTGGGTTGATGATCTAACATTTCCTCCTCTCAGGCATTGTCTTGGGACCACCCGCACCTCCACCCCCTCCTCCTCTCCCACCAGGACCTGTCCAAACCCCAGCTCCTCCTCCTCCCCCAGGACCCCCACCCCCACCCCCACTACCATCATCTGGGCCTCCCCCACCCCCTCCTCCCCCTCCTCTGCCCAATCAGGTACCCCCTCCTCCACCACCACCTCCTGCCCCGCCCCTCCCTGCAACTGGATTTTTCTCTGGACCTGTATCAGAAGATAATCGCCCTTTAACTGGACTTGCAGCTGCAATTGCTGGAGCAAAACTTAGGAAAGTGTCACGGGTAAATGCATTCCCAACTACTGTCTTTTTAATATAGGTCTTATTCTTTCTAAATATTTAAAAGACTAGATTCATTTGTTCTAATTTTATGAACTATGCTATTAACCATATTGATTAAAGTTCAAAACAATTAAAATTTACAGAAAAGTTTCAAAAATCGTATAAAAAAACTTCTGTGAATCTATTATCTGTATTCACCAGTTAACATTTTATCAGTACTTGCCTCTTTATTTTCTTTGTGTGTTTCCTTCTATACATACACAGTTTTGTCGGAATGATTTGAGAGTAAGTTGGAAACATCATGCCAATCTCCCTAAATGATGTTGGTATGTACAGTTTTGTAAGAACAAGGTCATTCACATACATGACCACAGGATAGTTATCAAAATCAGGAAATATAACAATGTTTTCAAATTTATTTTGAAATGTATTTAAATCTGTTTTACAGTGTCTTTTATGGCATTTTTCTTTCAAAGTCTTCTGTTGCATTTAGTCGTAATATAGCTTTAGAGTAGACTGTGACAGTTCTTCAGTCTTTCAAGTTACTGACATTTTTGACGGCTGTGAGTTATTGTTTAGGTTTTCTTTCAGTTTGTCATATTTGAATTGTTCCCACAAGATTTGATTCAGCTTGGGCATTTTGGGAGCAGAAAGACTATCACAGTTGAAAGCTTCTTAATATATCATGCAAGGAGACACCCAGTACTATTTTACCCCATTATTGATGGTAGCTTTGATAAAACTTTGCTATACAAAGTCAATGCTGTTGATTCTTAAGGCTTAAAATATTTTCAGATTTTTAAAAATTTACATTGATACTAACTAATAAAGGAAATTATTATGTGTATCTTCTTGTTAAGATGGAGGATGCCTCTTTCCCTAGTGGAGGGAACACTGGTGTGAACTCAGCCTCCTCCAAAGCCGACTCTGGTCGTGGGAATGGGCCTCTTCCTCTAGGGGGCAGCGGCTTAATGGAAGAAATGAGTGCCCTGCTGGCCAGGAGGTGAGACATCTCACTGTAGCAGACATGTCCAGAATCTGGAAGAGTTTGTTGATTTTATTCTGCATATAACTTAACTACATGTACTTCTTCCCTCTTACAGAAGGCATTTTTATACTAAGAGTTACATGGTTTTTTAAAGAGTTCAATTTACCTTTCTAGGAGAAGAATTGCTGAAAAGGGAACAACAATAGAAGCAGAACAAAAAGAGGACAAAACTGTACGTGAGTAAAGCCTGCACCCACCTTAAAATGTGGGATACTAGCATAGCCCGTTCAGAAAACCAGTGATTAGTCAACTTGACCTAAATTAATTCAGAATCAATTGATTCTATTTTCAGATACTTAAAATGCCTTACTACGTTATTGTGTTTCCCCCCAAAATAATCCTGAACAGAAAAATAACCAGCCTTGAAAACTAGAGATAAAAAATGCCAGTTTCCATCACTTTGCCTTACTTGCCGTTACATAGTGACCACCAAATGAGAGAATACTGAGGTATAATCTTCTGCATGACCCTAGTGATCATTAGCACAGTAATGACCAGTGGTTATTTTCGAGTTAGGTCTTATTTTTATAAAATTATAATGGCTTTCTTAAAAAAAATATGATGTAGAGTCTTGGGAAAAGTACTGAGATTCAAGCCTGTGGATTTAATTCTGTTCTTATATATCCTTAAAATGAGTAGGTGTCCTCTCCTAGGAAGGTTTGTGTGTCCCTTAGTATGAAACCTTTATGCCATTCTTCCCAGTCCAGGCAGAGAAACTCTGTTTCATCTGTTCTGTGCGTAACTGTTTTCTCCACACCACTGGATCACTTCTGTTTCCTGTGGCTTCCCAGCAGTATGTAGCTCAGGTCCTCAGTGAGAAGGTGTCAGACTGGGCACTCTGGGGAGCAGAGAGGAATGTCAGGAAGAAGAGGAGGAAGAATTCCAAGCCAAGGGAAAAGCGGGAGACATGGGGCAGGAGTGTGTTGCTCATACTGAGCGAGCATGCAGCGATGTGCCTGTGATGAGGTACTAATGCATGTATTTTTATACATTTAGGAAGATTCTGAGCTTATAACTTCAAAGGCCTCTTCAACAAATGTACCTGGTAAGTTCAGGAGAAATACTTTAATCTTTGTCAGCTTTCCCTAAATACTAATACTCTCTAATTGAAACTTTCCCTTTTAACAAAGAATTCCCCTTTCCCATATTTGGACTGACTAACTGCTTTGTCCCTAAAATGTTAAAATTTCTTTTCACACATGAATACATTGGCCTTTTTTCTGTGTTTTTTGTGCTCTTAAAAGCTGCTATTGCTTTATTCCTGATACTGTGACATCTGTTAAAACTCAACATTTTTCTGTCAACTTTTTGAAAGCCCTAATTTTTATACTTATAAAATCTAGTATATTATTGTCAATGCGTTAATCATTCTTAAAGGTAAAAATTAAGTGAGTATATTAGCAAGCATTGTATTGTATTTGAAACCATTCTTGGATTGAGAAGGTTGTCATTTTAACCGTTCAGTTGAATAATGTTGATAATCTTGGAAATGAAGCTTCTGGTTTATAAGCTAAAAAGAATCTCTTAAAAGCTTTTGGAAAACATTCTTAAATTTAGTAAAATTTTAACACTAAGAACTCTTAGACACAAAATACCTAAATATTAACAAAACACACGTTCCTGCAAGCTGCCAGAGAGCAGTGTATTCATTGTGAGGCATAAGGCTACTTGGCCATGTATCTGACCAGATACTGCAACTGGACCCTTTACTTCCATGCCTATTTTGGAATGAAGTGACATAAAGAAATCAAATGAGTTAATAGAACGGTCCACAGAAAACTAATATAGAGAAATGTCTGTATTAATTTCTACATATTTTAATTTAGAGGATATCAATCACCTATAGAAATCCTTTCTTTTTTTTCTGATAACTTTATTTTCAAAAAACATACTTCTGTTTTTGTAATTGTAGAGTTCTATCTGACTCTGTCTCTCTCTGTCTCTCTCTCTCTGTCTGTCTCTCTCTCTCTCTGTCTCTCTCTCTGTCTCTCTCTCTCTCTCTCTCTCTCTCTCATACACACACACATACACAGTCCCTCAGTCTCACAGATAGGTTAAATAGCAAACATTCAGTAGTCTGATTGCTATAATTATATTGTGATTTTGTGAACTATTTTGTCAGCTTACTTTACTATATAAGTTCGTGTTATCTTTATGAGAAATTCACAAGTTTGTGACCCACTTTCAGTTATTGTTCTTATGAAGTTAATTATATATACTATCATTAAGACTGTAGACACATTAGAACTGAAGCAGACTACAGGGTCACCGAATCTCTAAATATGGCAAGAGTAGAGAATTCTCTCCCTGGAGAGGGAATTCACTGGGTACAGATCTGCTCAAGATTCTCTGGATGTTCGCCATGGACCCCAAATCTATATCCCTTTAAATCAAATATGAAAAACTAAAGCCTGTGTTTTGCATGGGTACATCATGTATAAAATCAAGAATTCATCTGGAAGGCCGTGTGGCAGTTTTATTCTGTTTTTTTGTTTGTTTTGTTTTGTTTAACTGACATCATATCAGGCATTTGATAGGCCAAAAAGAACTGAGGTCCTGAGTGCAGCACACTCATAGCACAGTTGTGCATGGTGAGGGAAAGGTAATCTTCTGTGACCAGACCTTGGGTGCTGATGACACAGCAAGGGAAGAGGTCGTGCAGTCCCATGGACCAGCTTTGTAGGAAACAGTAACGTGTCACTGCATATTGGAACTAGAGCATTGGATATGACTTCCGTAGGGGACAGAGAGATACTTGAGGAAGGCAGTATCACAAGCAGGAAGAGGTTGGGAAGCAGTAAATAGATACAATCTAAAGGGGAGAGTTCTTTTTGTTGAGCATTGGAAAAATAGGTTGAAAAAGAGAGTTAGAAAGAAAAACAGTTTAGGTTTTACACTGCAAATACCAAGTTAATGTCATCAGCCAGTATTGCTGGAGGCACATAAAGTGGCTCTTGTGAGCACAGTGAGGTAGAATCAAGGAGGTCTGACTTAGGGAAATCAGTGAGGAAGTTCCTAGTGCAGGGAACTAGAGTGTTGCAAGCACTCTGAGAAGAGACCAACTTCAGTTCTTCCTCCTGAGGCCCCTACCTTGGTCTAAGATGGCCTCATTTCTTAGCCCCACAGAGTGGGCAGCTCTGCCCTTTCTCCTGAAGCACAGCGGTGTCAGCTATCTGCCCTTTTAAGATTGAACAGTAGTCCCATTTCTCTAATTGACAAAGGACCTCAGCTGCCACTAGTTAGCACCACACGTGGTTCACTTTGGAATTGCTCCCTATCTTTCCACTTGCCTCTTCCTTGGTGGCAGCGTTCTAATGACTTATCTTTTCTGCCCAGTTATCCCTAGTTTTTTTCAGGACTTCCCTGTCCACCTGCCTGGATGATGTGTTGGATGAGTCTCTAACATCACCCATTTAGGACACTGTAATTATTGGTAGTCTCCAACAAACTCTGGAACCTGACACCCCTGTGGCATCAGTCAGAGAATGCATGGTTGTTAAGAGTACAGAAGAATAAATAAAAACATTTAATGAGGAAAAAGAAAGAGAATTCCTTGAGTGATGAGTAAAAACAAGATCAGTGGGAAATGTAAGGTTCATACCCAGATGTCAACTTGAAGCAAAAATACAAAGTGATCCTTCAAGGGAGGAGTCTGAATTTAGTTTTGTGTGGTTATATTTTGAGGAAACTATAAAGCTGCCTTAGAAAATGTAGAGGCCCATTGAGGGTTTCTGTCAATCTCAGAGCAGTTTCTTAGTTAAAACTATATGGTGACCCAGCACTGGGGAGGCTGAGGCGAGTTGGAGTCCACCCTGGGCTACATAGTGAATTCAAGGCCAGCCTGAACTACACAAGACCCTGTCTTTAAAAAAAAAAGAAAGAAAGAAAGAAAAGAAAAAACTACATGAAGAGATCACAAGTCATACTCAGTCTTCATGTGGCCCAAAAGATTTTCCTCCCAGACAAGATTCCACTTTTGATGTCTTCCAGTCATCTAATTAGGCCAGTGACACATCAACCAAGTCACCCAAAATACAAAAACAATTCAAATGATCACGTTTGATGGCTGACCAGTGAGTTATCACATGTCCGTCATAGGACGAGCTTGGAGGGAACTGACTTATATTTAACTGGAGTTGTCTGCAAGTTCCAAAAATTAAGGTTTTTTTTTTTTTTTAATAAAAGAAACATTAATGTGCTTATTTCTTATTTAAAGGTCTGAAAATGTGCAAATTAGAATCTTTAATAAGAATTTAAATCTCAATTTTGAATTTATCTGTGTTACTATAATATAAACCAGTACTTTATTGATGAGTCCTGTAGTACTTTGTTGTTTGTTTAATGGAACCCCTGAAATCATAGGCAGTATTTAATACATTTGTTCTTTGCATTTGAAGAACCAACCAGAAAGCCTTGGGAAAGAGCAAATGCAGTGAATGGCAGCAAGTCCCCTGTCATCTCCAGGTACCAGTGTTTTTCTTAAATTTCATATGACATGTATCTAAAAAGGAAAATATCCAGTTGTAGATTATGAATTGTATAAAGGAGCTCACAAAATACCTGTACTTCATCTTCAGTTGGACAGTCACTGCTGAGCCCATTATGTTTTACTAGTGCTATATGATAAATTCATCCTACATTTGTTAGTCAGATTGTCTGAAATTTTAAGACAGCTTTATACCTCCCAATGTTTTGAAATACTCCACACTAGAGAAAAGTTGAAAGAATAGTGCAGGAAATACTCATCCTCGGCTTAGCAGCCATTAACATTTGCCACATTTGTCTTGATCATCTGTATATCAAAGTATTTTTTCCTTCTTGTGTTGGTTATTTTTTTCTATTTGCTGAAACAAAATACCAGATGCCCAAAATGAAAGAAGAAAAGGTTTGTTTAGCTTACAGTTTTTGGTGGTTTCAGTCCATACTCACCTGGTTGCAAGGTAGGGTAGCATGGCACTTAGAGGCAGCTGTTCATGGTGGGCACATGCAACAAGAGTAAAAAGGGCAATTTCCTCCCTTATATTGTATGCCGGCTACCTGCCCCTTGGCAGGTGCAGCACTCATACCACTAATCCCAGCACTAGACAGTGAACCAATCACAAATGCTAGACTCAGCTACCTTCAAAAGGCCCACCCCTCATGACCACATGAGGCTTTGGGAGGATATCCAAACACAACCATAACATTTGTGAATAATTTGAAAGTAATTTTCAAACAAATGCTGCTTTACCCTAAATATTAACAGCATTTTTCCAAAGAATGAGGACATCTCCTGCATACCAGAATGGCATTGTAACTCCCAAAGAATTTAGCATTGAACAGTGATATTATTTAAACAGTATATGTTCACATTTCCCTGTTTGTCTAAATAACAGAAATTTTATATTTTAAACTAAAAATCAGCTGTAGAAAAAGGTTGTAATGTTTAAGAGAAAGCAAAATAAAACCTTGAATTTTAAGTTGGGAGTTTGTTCTGAGTTGAAAGTTCTGATCATAATCAAGGCTAGGACATGGACAGACAGGTTTTGTGTCCTCTACAAGGTGTATTTTATCATCATAACTGAGTTTATGCCACAGGTTTTAGAACTAAGTGGAACTTTGTCTTGGTTTATGAGACAGTTTAAAAGGCTTATATTTTCCGGGGGGGGGGGGGACTTGTATGCATTTAAAGGCTAAAAGGGATTTCTGCCTTTTCTTTCTGAAATATCTGCCTTACATTTGCCTCATAAAAAGAAAACTTGACTTTTTCTATAGAAATCTAATTTTTTAAGGAGTAAGAATAGACTTTATCACACACCTGTTCTGTGGTAAGCCTATGTTTTCATTTGAATTTGGCTTCTGTGTGGTTTTTTATGTAAAGAGTAAAGAGGATTTGATAACATAGTTAAGTTCCAAAGAAACCAGGCCTTTTTGTTTGTTTGTTTTTTGTTTTTGCTTTTGTTTTGAGACAGGGTCTCGCTATGTAACTCAGGGTGGCCTTAAACTCACTTTGTAGTCCAGGCGGGCCTCAAACTTGTGATCCTCCTGCCTCAGCCTCCCAAGCGTTGAGTTTACAGGTGTGTGCCACCATGCCTGGCTTTTTAAAATGTATTAAAGCTTTCAGTTTTTAAGTAATTATAAGATGACCATATATGACTTCAGAAAAAAATGAAGGGATTTGTTCTTGGACGGGATCTTTCAATAGAGCACAAAAATTGCTCCTTATTGTTCTCAGACTCATCAGTAAGGGGACCTCTAACACTTGTCTGCAGTTCCAGATTTTCTTCAGTAGCACATTAGGAGCCCTCATTTGTTGAGTACTGTGTACCATAACAGAACTGTGATGTGCCATTTTCCTCTGAGGATGTAAGTTCCAACAAGGAGGTTCTTTCTGCCCTGCATCCTAACTTCATCAGGAGGAACTCCACAGAGCCTTGCCTGAAGCTAGGGCTGCACTGATGGTTTAGGAAGAGATACGGAATAACAGAAAAAAAAAAAAAAAAAAAGAAACGGAGATATGGGAGAGTCCTCCAAATGGAGTTTATCATGTGATTTGTTGGTCTCATTTAGTAAAGGAATAGTGTTCTTTGAAAGATTTTTAGACTTCTGAAGCAAGTTGAGTGTTTTAATGGTTACCACTTTGAAAATATTTTCATATAGATTTGTTGAAAATTGAAACCATGTTTCAATTCTGTTAGATGGTTTCCCTCATCTCTCCCAAAATAGAACTTCTGAAACACCTATTTCTGACCACTCGTGTCATAAAGTTTTAATACATATATATTGGAGGGGAGCAGTTGTAAGCAATAAAAGATTTTAAAAATGTGTTTAAACAACTCTTCCTAAGTATCTCCCCTGTTTCTTGGGGGAAGCAGGTACATTGGTTGACATATGTACTTTTGAAGCACACGCCATCCCACCCTTTAGTTTTGGCACCATTTCTTCCATACTGTGTGTGCTAGAATTACATTGGTGTTGAGATGAGCTGATGCCCTTTGGTGTCCACAAGATTCTTCATTATGCTGTACTAAGGGAGGATGTCAGAAACGAAAAAATAAGAACGTAAAAATGCTCTGAATGGTGACTCTAAATAGTGACTAGAATGTAACGCTGGAAAGTTTATGAATTCTTCCTATAATTTTTATTAAAAGCTTACAGCTACTGTATTCATAGTAGGAGAAAAACATTGTTTCCATGCCCAAGGATAATTTTATATGCTTCAGGCTACCATGATTTTGAGTCTGTTGCCTTACAGTCATTGTCATAGAAAGGTATATTTGTTAGTGGGTTTTACTGTACCTATAGCCTACCAAAGGAAAGTCATTGTATAATGACTTTGTAACTTTCAAGTAAACAATATATTTACATAATTAAAATTAGCTTTAAAATATCTTCTCTTTATTGGAGAAATGCTTATTCTAAGGATAATGGAGTCCTTTAATTCTTGTTTTGTTCTCTATAACTAGAAACTTGTGAAACAATAAGTAGTATCTTGAGAATTATTTTTAAAGTTACGTATTGTATACCCCTTTAAATGGTCTTTCCCCTTCATAGACGGGATTCTTCAAGGAAAAATCAGATTGTTTTTGACAACAGGTCCTATGATTCATTACACAGGTATCACCCGGCTGTGGCTTTGTGATTTAAGACTCAAATAACATGTTCAGGACAGGGCTGAGCTTTTCTGTCTGGACTGGTAATCACCACAAGGGAGTTGGCTATATAGGTTCAATCTTTCACTTTTAGCTTTATCTTGAACATTTAAATAAAAACAGAAACCTACCATCACCTTGTAGTTGGATTAGGATCTATACAAGTAGTAAGTCTCAGAATACTAAGATGGAATCCAGGGCTTTGTGTGTTGTCTAAGGCTTTGGCATTTTCTTTTTTTTTTTTTTTCATTTTCATTTAAAAGTTGTTCTCTTCATGGTTCTAAGACAGCCTTAGCCTTTAAAAAGTGTGATAGAAGATCCTGTGCTGGTTGTTAATGGAACACAGGACAGTATAGCCAAGTTTGGATACTGTTTGAGGAAAATCTGTTTCCTAGATACATTGAAGTATTGAGTAGGTTTAACAACTTCAGGCTGTTTTATAGGATAAGTCTCATTGTACCATTGTTAATTAAGAAAACAGGATGCAAATCATCCAGAATTGGGGTGCAGCTCTGTGACAGTGTGTGTGCACAGCATGCTTAAGGCCCTAGATTCGGTCCAGCATACCACCCCACCCCCAAGAAGCATAAAGTGTCTATTCTTCTCTCAATTAAAAAAAGACTCCCCCACCCAAAAAAATCTTCAAGTACTGCTCTGCTATTTATAGAATTAATTTAGCCAACTAGGAAGTTGAGCAGTGTAGCACAGTTGTTTCATAGACAGGTACCTGGAGGCAACCTTCTCTTCATGAAGGAGTAAAAACTTCTGAGAAACACACATATTTTGTTATCAATTATGTTGAAAACCCACAGTTTAAAAATAACCGAAATATAGTGATGTTCTCATATATGCATCTGTTTTGTAAAATACACATCAAGACTACTAATCATTTGAATTAAACTGTGTGGAGGAGTATGTGTGCCACCAAGAAGAAGTTCTGTTGCCAGACTGGTCAAATTTGTTAGTTATTTTTATGCCATTGATTAGCCATTCTTTTGCTAGCCAGTTAAAAAGCAGTAGTGAAATAATTTTCTGCTTTCTTTGGGGTAGATTAATTGTTGTGAACAAAAGATTTATTAAGAAAACTTGCTAGTACATAGAAAAAAATAGTATTTAACACTGAGTTCTTCATAATTATCTTCCTGCTCTCACACTTAAGTGTCCCCAATGTTGAAAAGCTTCTTTTGAAAAGTGGTGATTACTTCTTTCCTTCAGTATGAAAAGTTCCCCCCTCGAATTGATTCTCGTGGTGGTGGTGGTGGTGGTGGTGGTGATGGATTGCATGTTAGCATGAATTAAATTTTTAAAATTTTGCATGTCTCTATGGTTAATTATATAAAACACCATTTTTAATTGCTTAGTGAATATGGATATACTCGGAGAATACTACACAGTTAAATCACAGATTATAGTTGATTGTAGCATGAATTTCAGAGGTATTCATTATATAGCGTAGAAAAAAATAACTACACCATTTAATTGTGAAAAGTAAATGAAAGCAGAGTAATTAAAATTTAATTTTAGAGAGCAAGAGTAGAGATGTGAGTGTGTGAGATGTACAGTGTGACCTATAGAACTGCTGTAGACCTCACACCACACGACACTGGGCCACAGCTGCTTTCGAGCACCCTCACTGAGGAAGAGGCTCCTGTAGAAACCACCCCAGCCTCCAGCACCCCACTCAGCACTACCGCTGATTTCTGAAAGTTTGTATCTTCAGTTTTTATACCAGCAAACAGATAGCAAAATGACACTGGTTGGCTTGCTTAATAATCTTAAATATGTCTCATTGTTAAAGCTGATCAGCTCAGTGTTTTATCTTAATGAATAATGTCTGTGGGTTTAAAGTATTACTTGTATTAGGAATTATGAGATTAAAACTTTGAAAAAGTTGTTTATATTGGGACTTGACTGGATTTCTGACATTGCTACTCTGCAAAATTGAAAGTATGCCATTTGAGTAATAGTTTAAAATTATGTTGATTTGTAGCTCTTAAAGATGGCCACTTAGTATATTAAACCAGAAAATAGCTAAATTAAAACTAGGTTTTTCACTAAGGATTTTCTTTTATTGCCAGAATTGAAGGGGAAGGTATTACTAGTCTGAAGCATTGGTTTAAAATGTGCCTAACCCAACCAGGAGTAGTAGCACATGCTTGTAATTCCAGCACATGGGAGACTGAGGCAGGAGGATTGCTTCGAGTTCAAGACCAACCTGGGCTACATAATGAGTTCAAGGCCAACCTGGACTACCTACGGAGACCATATGTCAAAATGAAAGAAACAAAAAATCATAAAATACACCTAATCCTGACTCAAGTATGGTAGTCCACACCTGTTACCCCAGCACTTGGGAGGCTGAAACAGGAGGATCTGGAGTTCAAAGCCAGTCTAGGCTATAGAGCAAGACCTGTCTCTAAACAAAATTTATTCCCCAAGATATTTTGTTGTGCGAAATTTTTAATAGAAGCCCAACTGTTGGAAGTGTAATAATAATTGACAGTTTACTTCTGTCTGCATGTCTTTTTTTTTTTTTTTTTTTTTTTTTCTCAGCAAAGCAAATTTCTGGAGCAGTTAGCCCAGAACAAACCATTCATATGATGTTTCCATGAAACTTTTATAGGGAAGTAGCTAGTTAGAAATAGTTCTACCTAATAATTATTTTTTCAGCATTCTTATTTATATTAATATTTGGCATAGAATAAATACATACAGAGAAATCTTGGTTACTAAAATGTTTTCTTCTAATACATAGAAATTTGTAAACTAAGAGAAAAATATCCAGGTCTTTATACCTTCCTTCCTCGGGTTCCTGGATACTTGGTAGGCAGTAAAATTTCAGAAGAGGGAGAAGACAAGGCTGTGTTGTTGGGGTGTCAGAAGTGTCTGCTGAGTTCAGTGAACTATGTTCCCTGGTCCCCTGCCTCAGGCCCAAAGAATACCATCTCAGACTCTTAACAAAGAAGTCTCAACATCTTGTCACACCTTTCTAATTTCTTTATAAATAATTTAAGATAACAAAATTAGTGGAAACTACTTTGTTTTTTGTTCTAGTGACTCTAACAACTGTGGAAGTTAGCTTTTTAACAAAATGTGCTTCATTTAAGAAATTATTTAAGTCTAGTGTTGGGTTGGAAAGTTTTTAATATGAACTCATTACATAAGTATTGTTTACGTGTCCTGCAAATTTAATTTGTACAGACCAAAATCCACACCCTCATCACAGCCCAGTGCCAATGGCGTCCAGACAGAAGGGCTCGACTACGACAGGCTGAAGCAGGTGAGCATACAGTGCATCTTGTCTGCATCTTACATGTTGCTCTTTTCAAAATGCATCATGCGTGTGTTGATCATGGATTTTGAATGTATTTTAAAAGGTCATAGAGTCAGCCATGTGTGCTATTACACACTTGTGATCTCAGTACTCTGGGAGACTGAGGCAGGAAGATTTGCAAGTTTGAGCCTTGCCTGCAAGACATAGCAACTTAGCAAGATCCTGTCCCAAAATAAGAGTGGGCAAGGGATGTATTCTGTGACGAGATCTTGAGTTAAATCCCAGAACTTTAAAAAAAAAAAACAAAAAACAAAACCTGTTAAAACATTTTTATACAAATTAAACAGTGGCATTACATCTTCATTTCTGCCCAGTGAGTTCACACCCAGGTCCAGCAGGGGGAAGGTGAATGTGCCATCTGTGCAAGTGCAAGATGTGCCCTTTCAGGAAAGCAGCAGCTTCCACTTTCCCCTTACTGTAGGGGCACAGTGGACCCAGCAAATCTGATTTTGGCCCAAATGAGAGGGAGTGGGCACCTCATACACTTTGGCATTCCAAAAAGCAGATCAAAGCCTTTGGTTCCAGAAATTTCACTTCAAGGAACTTACATGAATAAATTTATGCAAAATGTTATAAATGCATACACGTACACAGCAAGGAACAGAGGTTCTGCAGCCACTGAGAAATTCTAATACTGTGTTTTACCAGTGACCTGTGTATACTTGCCCATGTTAAGGGAAGCAGATAATGAAACAAGTATATGTAGTTGTCTCAGTTGCATAAAATAAAAAGATAAGTAATCATATTTTGGTTGCATGGGCATTGTATTCAATACATAAATACTCAGAAACAGTTGATAAGTTTGTGGGTTTCTAAAAAATCTTATTCCTTAAAACAAAACAAAGACTTATTCCTACAAACATTGACATATATTTTTTTAGATTAAACCTAATTTTTGTACTATAAAGCTATTTGAAAAATTTAAGTTATGTAATTTATATAGGGAACAGGTGATCATTGATAATTAACTCTGGTTTTGCATATACTGATAATGGCTTTTCTTGAGAATAGTTTTCTTTTTGATGTTTATTTTTTGACACAGGGTCTCGCTATACAGCTGAAGTTGGGCCTGAACTGGCTATGTAGCCAGCCCAGAGTGGCCTCAAACTCAAAGCTCTCCCACTTCAGCCTCCTAAGTACTGGGATTAAAAGCTGTGCACCACCACGCCCATCCTGAGAACACTCTAAGACAAAAACTCAAACATATTTAAACATATGGTTACCTGAAATCGGGGAGTGGAAGGAGCAATAGATTTAACTTTTGGAATGATTGAAAGATTAATGCACATAATAACTTAAGTGCTTCAGTTTCTTCATTGACAAAAGGAGGAATTTGGCAAGTTGGTAGATTATTCTTTTCATCTTCACACAGCAGTTTAATTAAGCTATGCAATGTTACAGAAAGGAACACAATTTAGACCTAATCTTTCCAAAAGTGGCTGTGGTTTTTTAACTCTTAAAATTGTGTGCCTTGGGCTGAGCACTTGCCTGGCAAGCACAAGACACCTGAGTTCATCCTTAGTACACAAAAAAGGAAACTGATCACTTTGTAAAGGCCCTGTCACCTCGGAACCCACCCTTCTTGAAGGAGGTTCAGAGCATCACTGTTAAGTAGAAATATGGGGCACAAATGTATTTTAAATTTTTGTGGTAGTCAACATTTTTTAAAAAAAACAAATAAGTGAAATTAATTTTGTTAAAAATCCCGTCAATATAAAGCCAATATTTTGGAATTATAATGGCTTATTTTGTGTTATTTTCCTCATGCTGTCTTGCAGTCTGTATGGCACACCCTGTTTTGGAGCAGCCACTGTCAGATTCTTCCACCCCTCCCCCGGGAACCCTGAGGCCCTGCTGGGAAACCTGTGCTCCTTAAGATGTGATTTGGCAGCAGCTGCTAAGAAACTCCACACCTCAAGCCAGGGGCACATTTGCCAGGCCAGCTGTCCAGCAGCATTTGCCTCCTGGAACTATCTCCCCCTGTCACCTCTTAGCTGCTACCAGAGGACAGGGTTCAGAGCAGAGCTGTTACCTTTCCTGGAAACTGAATCACAGCCCTCACTGGATGGCAAACTAGTTACTTGAGTTTTAGAAAGCATTCTGTTTCATATCTCGCTACGGTAGAATAAGCAAAGTTTGAGAAGAGAGGACTATTAAAACAAGTCAATTTTATGAGAAACACAATTAGGGTCCTGGAAACCAATAATGTTCATCATACTTTATAATCACCTTAAAACTTTTTTTATTTTTTAAGAAAGGATTTTGTTGTATAGTTTAGGCTGACCTTGAACTCACTGTGTAGCGCATGCAGGGCTTGAACTTGTTGCAGTCCTCCTGCCTTAGCCTCCTGAGCGCTAAGCATGTGCCACCTTTCCCAGCTTAAAATTTTATTTGAGTGAGAAACTGTTTGTTTCCTGATATTTTTCTCTGATATTTTAGGACATTTTAGATGAAATGAGAAAAGAATTGGCAAAACTAAAGGAAGAGCTCATTGATGGTAAGTGAGCAAATTTGCTGCTCTTTTAAAATACTGCTTTTGAATTGCCATTAAGAAAATACAAATAAGAAATACTCATTTTATTACTTGAGCGCAATTACTTTTCTGCTCTTGGTTTGGCTTAGGAAGTCAGAGAAGAGTTCTTCCTTGTTAGTGGAAATACTTTATAAAACTGTGGGTTGAAGGTTCCTAGGTCACCTGTTACTAGATGGAAAAATGGTGATATTTTCCTCTTAGTCACCTCTAGTCATCCCCCTCTTAGGAGGCCCCTTGTTCTCAAGCCCACAAGAATCAGTGTGCTTTTTCTGTGTGCAAAGGGAGAAAACACCCACTATAACTACATGTAGAGATTGGTATCCTTATAATATTAAAACCTTTCTATACAAGGAAAGTTGTAAAATCTGTGTCTCTTTATTACTGTGCATTTGAACATAGTTCTTAAGATTGCTTAAAAATGAATCATGTATCTATATCACTTTATTTACTTTCAGTATTTTTTTTCTTTCCAGCAATTAGGCAGGAACTGAGCAAGTCAAATACTGCATAGAAAAGCAAAAGGAGAGAGAGAACTTTAATCTGGTGAGGAAAAAATCCTACAAACAGTAACCTTCTATAACAACCCATACAGTTTTGTGCCTGTGAGAAGAAAATGGAGACAAGAAGTCAGAAGGAAGGAACTAACACCCTCTGAAAGCGTTCAGGCATTGTGAGTCAGTGGTCGCCGTCCCTCCCCACTGGCTGCTTTTCTCTGACCTGTCCCATAGAATGGAAGAGCAGTGGACGAGTTCCTCCAACAGTTGAACAGAAAATACGAAGCCCATCTATCAGACAAGAGCAACTTACATTGAAATGTTTTCATGTTGAGATAAAGCCACACATTTTACACAGCCTATTGCTAAAATAAAGAGAAAGGCTTATGGAGTTCTTTTTCAAAGAATGGTGATGAAGAATTTAGCAAGTTCTGCTGTTGTATTGTAAATGTTTCTCTCAGGTCTGTCTTCCTATCATATTTGATATTCCATGAATAATTGAGATCAGGCTGTGTGTAGGTTAAGATCATAAAATGTGGAACAAATGGGATTGTATATGCTTTCAAAGGGTGGCGTTTGTAAGAAAGTATCCTAAAGATGATTGGTCCAGCTTAAGGAATTTTAGAATGATAGGAAGTCTCTCGAGTTAGCCTTCATGCAATTTTGTAGTTTAAAACATAAATTCATCCAGAATTTAAAAATTTAGATGCCTTCCTAAATTGTTAAAATGCTTTACCAAATCTATGACTTCTACATAACACAAACCAGTGGTCAAATGTAAAACAGTATATTGTAGATTTACTGTAGGTTTACAACCTTTTTTAGATTTATGCATGTGGGCATTTTTATAACAGTCACCACAAAGTTAGCTTTTTTTATTGCAGACAGTAATGCATGTCACACTAATATGTAGTGGCTTTTTCAAGGCCTAGTCCCAGGGAAAACATTTTGTAGAGTATAGGGGAGTGGGAGGAAGGAAAGGAATTACTTTTTATTTAAAGTTAATTTCTGCACTTTTTTCTCAATTACCTGCATGAATAGTAACGAGAACTATTTTGTGACTTTAATTGGTAAATATGTTAACAAAACCAAGTGCATATCTTCTACATCATGTCTTTAGCTATATTGTATTTTAACCAGTAATTCCAAGGGTCTGACACATGAATCTGAGCTTCACCTGAATTGTATCTTACTGTGGCACTCAGTCAGGTGTCACCATCACCGGCAGTGACACAGGTATTCAGACGCACAGTCTGGTATGAAGGTGCTTTTGAATTTTGTGTTGAAATACAAGAAATGACAATGACGACAGCAATTAAGGTCACAGAAATCATTGGGTAAAGGGTAAACAAAGAAGAGTCTGCAGTTTCAATAAACAAAGCCAGGCATAGGTGGGAAGTAGGAGTCAAATACTGTTACCACCATGTCGTGTGGGTGAGTGAGCACTAGTGTGTGCGCTGTATGTGTGATACACTCCATTTTCTCCAAAACTGGTAAGATTAAAATAGGGAAGAAGTCCTTTATGTTGCAATAATAGCTTTTTTAGGAAATCAGAAATTCTTCCAAGTTCTCCATCCTGATTTATGCTTGAGTTGTTATGTGCCATATTTGCTTTAAAATCTTTGATTATTGGAACTTATACTAAAATTCTTGTGAAATAATACACTTTCATCTGCTTTCTAGGTTTTATAAATCCCCAGCTTAAGGCAAAGCTTGTTGATAGCATTATTTTCTAAATGATGCCCCTGGGCAGTCATTTCCACTACAGAGAAGTATGGATGACAGGATTTTCTTTCATGTTAAGATAATTGGTTTCTGTGGAAACTTCATGCTAGATGAATCTGTGATGGATGAGCTGTAGTAACTCAAGCATCCTGCTCTTCTTTCCATCAAGTATTCATTGTCAGGCAGTTGTAGTACAGGCTTTATGAATGCAACAAACTTAAAAATTTCTGTTCTCTAAAAGAAATGGGAGGCATTTTCATCTTTATTACTGTACTTGGGGTTATGTAAACTCTTTGACATACAAACATTTATGCCCTTTATAAATCTGGCAAGAAATCATTAGGTTTTCTTGGGTAAATTAAGTAGTGTGCAGCACGTAGAATACTGGGTACAAGTGGTCCAAAGTGAAATAAAAAAACTGAAGTAAAATTCTCAATCTTAAGCCAGTTTAGGCATTAAACGTTTGTGCCTTGGTCTGTTAACATGATATCTGTATAAAATGACAAAAGAGAACCAGTGTTGAGTCGTGCTACACACTGTCCGTCATTCTGCATTCTACCAGATGCTAACTGTGTTCCTTCCAGGAAGTTTGATTGAATTACTCTACCCAATCTCTGTGTTGCTAACATACATGACAGTCACATCATTGTTAAGAGATTTCAGTAATGAAAATGAGAAACAGATGCTTATTTTCCTATCAAACTGTTCCTCAGAACTACATCATTCTGATGGCTTTGTGCTATTGTACTTGGATGTCTTCAGCTGAGTATAGTTTCGGGGATCCCTTCTAGTACAGGAAGATACTGCTGTCCTCAACACTGTGATCTGACCTGTGACACGTCTGTACCATACACTCTGTAAACGGCTAACAAGTCAGCTACAAACTGAATGTACAAATCTTAGTGCTGGTGCTGAAATCTCTTCAGAATAGTCTTGATTTAAAAGTTTGTTTAAAAATCTGCAAGCATTGTCAATCAAAACTGAAGATGAAACACTAATGAATGTTGACTTCTCATGCTTTAGATATATTTTCCTTTGTAGATTTTTCAGTTCTCTGCTGTTTTTACTGTTACTGTTTCATTTAAATTTCCTATATGCTAACTTTGTTTGTGAGATTGAAATAAAATTACAATATATACATGTTGCTTGTTTGGGACACTGACATGACCTTCTGAAATAATTTGCTCTGAAATAAGTCATGTAGGCTGGGAATACAGTTCAGTAGCATAAATGCCTGCCTGGCAAGTGCAAGGTCCTGTGTTCAATTCCCGGTACCAAAAAATATGTATATGTACACATAAAGAAAAAAACCCACTTAAACCAAGACTTCTATACTTACACAGCATTCCTATTTAAAGATTTTGTGAAAGTTAGGAATAGTAACACACATAGGGAATAATATATTTGCTGCTTGTTTCTCTAACTGAAGTCCCTAACTGTAAGGTATCTTTAATTTCTGTCAACACAACAAAGTGTCTTTTAGGCTCAAGATAGATACGAATGTGTATTTTGCTCCATATTTGTTCTACAATGTTCCAGATACTTTGTTTACATAGTTCAGTTTTCTTCCTACAGTTTGCAAGGTAAAAAGCACATTACTGAGTAATTTTACATGTAAAATCTACAGTATTTGTACATTATGCTGAGTTCTTAAAACCAGTTCTACATGATGAACAGATGTACTTTTTTTTTTATAAAGCATTACTGTAGAGTTCCATGCTAAGATTCTATGTCCTCCTTAGAAATGCAGCCACTTCTTTGCTTGTTTTTACCACAACCAGGCTTTGCTCTCTTCCTCCCATGACCTTCTCCACTCTGGGGGCTGCTCCTATCCAGTTACTCATATTTGCAGATGTGGAAGTGTGATTTTAAAAATACCCACTTGTTGTCTCTCTCTTTTGCTAAGGTTTGTGCTTAATCAGGATGTTTGTTATAAATAAAAATGGTTTCCTATTCCAAAATGGATTATGCAGGACCAGAGTATAGCTCAGTGGCAAGATGCTTGCCAAACATACCTGAGACCCTTGGTTCAGACCTCAATACTAAAATGTAGAAAAAGCAACAGATGGTTAGATTTTCCAGTGGGCCACGCATGGTGGCACACACTTGTAATCGCAGCATTCAGGAGGCTGTGGCAGAAGGATTGCTGTGATTTTAAGGCCTGGTTGGGCTACAAAATGAGTTCAAGGCCAGCCCGAAATGCATAGGGAAACCCCATCTCAAAAAGATATTTGGGGCTGGGGATTTAGCTCAGCAGCATGAGTACCTGCCTTGCAAGCAGGCGGTTGTGAGTTCAATCACCGGTACCGATTTAAAAAAAATTTTTTTTGTAGCTACAAATTTTATGTCTCTTAAGTTGTATGGTAGACTCAGCGATGACTGACCGTTTAACAAAGGTGTGAGCTCTTTTCCTTTGTGTGGCCATCATACTTTGTAACCCCATAACTGCTTAAATTCTATTAATTGTAAGCATAAAAAATGACACTAGATAAAGCAAAGTATGAGAAATGCTGCAGGAGTTCTTATCCTTTTAGCTATAAAATCCTCTTGTAAATAGCATTCACTTCTACTTTAATCTTGTTCCTTGCAATAGTTTTTGTGTTCTCAGTAGAAATAAACCTAAGAAAATGAGAAAGGATCTTAAGGATAAGAAATTTCTGATAATTAATATCTTTGACTTTTTACTGAATGCCATTTATCAGATGCTTTTTAAGTCAAAATTTGAGACCTTGATAAGGAATCTCCATGACAGTGAAGTAAACTGTTGTGCGCACCTCTGACTGCATGAGGACATAGTAGAGAAAATGTAGGTGTAAGATTAAGTTTCCTTGAGTGTAAGCGTGTCTTGAGAAGTTGATGACCTCAAGCAAACTTAGCACCCGAGTCAGTATTGTTGAACTCTGACACAGGCCTGCATCCAAAGCGCTAGTCCTTGCAGGTTGCAGTCATTCTGTTAGTTCTTCACAGAAGGCAGTGGTGGGATGTGAAGGTCAAGTCAACAGAGAAGGAAAAAGTCTGGAAAGGAGGAACTATGAGGACTAAGTATAAATAACTCATAGGTTTTTAATAACGTACCTGTAGGCGTTCCATGACTTGGTCATGATGGTTTTAGAAGTTACAAGAAATTGCTAATTCACTGGTTTTTCTCTGGAAATCTGAAGGAATGTGTGAAGGTCACAGAAAGGAAAATGCTTTTCCTAGGGTATGAATGTTCTCCATTGAGCTCACAATACTCTTCACCGAGCCCTGCAGAGCTCCGAGTGCCAAGCATGCCTAGGTTCAGGGTCATAAACTTATAGATGTGCCTGGGAACCAGCCACTAAACACAGCCATTCCTACCAAACTTAAGGTCTGAGAGAAGCCGCTTTTCATTTTAACAAGTATTGGAAAAACCTACATATTTCACAAGCTATTTGTTGGCCCACATCTATCTCAAAATAAGTATATCTAAGTGGCGTCCTCATAGCTTATCCTGTTGTAAGTCTAATTTAACTGGTTCCCTTTCAATCTCAGATTTTATTAGCAGATTTTCTATATTCTAAAAGGTGCATATGTGTAAGAGACTTAAGGCAGTGAATAATGTTATAGGTGGGTTCTTCCAAGGAGGCTTAGAGTATCCTGGTGGAGATGCAGTTGGATTACATGGGACATAGCCACTGGAAGAAAATCTACATTGATAGGTGGTTGTTTTGAAGGGTGTTTAATTCTCCTTACAGTCCAAAAGTTTCCATTCAAGGAGATGGAAACAAAACACTTCCTTGCCTTGCACTTAAAGCATACTGTAGGGCTAGGAGTGTAGCACAAGGCCCTGGGTTTGAGCCCCACTCTCACAAATTTATAAAATTACACTAATGTAATCAGTGAAGTAAATACACCACAGAACCCTTTTAAAAACATATTCCCTTACTATGCCTGACATTCTGTATTTAGTTGCATTTGTGGAACCTGCAAGCCTTGCCACCTCTCCCCCATCCCACCACCACCTTTTTAATGTAAGGCACTTTTTAAAAACCAATTTTTGCCTTGTTTTAGATGAAAAATACCAACTTCAAGTTTCAATGCTGTCTGTCTGCCCTTGTGGCCCAGTGTATATCAGAATCTGACAGCAGACTCCACCCCCCACCTGCTTCTCAGCACTTGGTGTGAGTTTGAGCAGATGTAAGCCAGCTCCACACTTCAGCTACAGCCCAGGAGGGATGGTGGATGATGCTGAGCCAGAGTGTGTGCAGCCTTGGTGCAAGGATGTGACCTCTGAATCATGCATGTGCCTCCCAGGCATAGACCAGCGCTCTATGGTAGTAACTGGGGCACCAAGACCAGCCTCAGAACGAGGGGTCACATCAGACCTGCCACAGCTGGGATGTGTTAGGCAGGCTCAGAAGGTCTTTGGGTTCGCAGGTCGTGGAGTGGTCTCCAGATCAGCCCCACGGAGGCCCCTTTCCTGGGCCAGTGTGGCTTGGCAGAGTGGAGTCTCTGAACCTCTTGTGCTGTTTCCTTTCACTCATCCTCTAGGGAAGCAAAGGGACTGTGTTGCTGCTGCAGAAGCACTTCCTTTGTCCTTGGTGCCAGGCTAGCAATTTCTTGTTAGCCGAGTGCTCTGACAAGGCTGAGACTGGAATGGGAACCCTGGGGCTATCAGCTAGGTCCTGTCTGCTTCTCACCTTCGTTTGGTTCTTGGAAGTGTATGTGTTTGGGCTTTGTTAGCAGGAAAATGTTTTTTGAGATGTGTTTTTCTTTTGGGGTTAAATAAAATATTTCTAACAAGAAAGGTGGAAAGAAAATTCTTGAGACCCCTACAGCTGATACCATGTATTTCTGATATACTCAGTGTAGCACTAACTTTTTCATAGATCTCACCTGGCACTTGAGGGCACAGCCTGGAAGTTCCTGTACCAGGCTGAATGGCCACTGGGGAGAAGGCTTTCAGTGCCCTCTACTTGGCATAGACAGTGCCACTGTGTTTTCTTTTTGGTGAATCAGGATAAGCTTAGAAATGAATAGCAGGAAAGCTTCATTGGTGTTTTTTCTTTTATGAGGCTGAGGAAGTCAGTGATGACCCTTTCTGGCTGAAAAGAGCCACACATGTAGTTAGGAAGAGTTTGAATGTTACAGTTCTATTTTTAGACATACCAAATTAACAGACCAAAAATATGCACTAAAATAACAGTACATAAAATTTAAAAGGAAAATTTCTAATGGTCCAAATAATGGGCTTGTGACCTTTTGTCACATATGTTGGGTTAGAATTTCACATAATCTTGCTTTGTTGCATACTGTAGAGCTGGAAATCCACGTGCAAATCCTTTAAAGATTGAGCAAGGCTGTTTTCTCAGCTAAAGACAAACACTGCAGCCCTATATACTGGGGTGGCCCTCTGTCCAGAGGGTACACTGGAGTCACATTATGTAGCAGTTAAAGTAGAATGTGCATGAAACTGTTTATTGATAATTAGAAATAAGTACATGGAATCTCATATAGCTTATCTTGTGGAATTTGTGAATTATAGCCCTTGCTGAATTCTGGAGAAAGGAAATGGTCAAAAATCTTTGTTAAATTAGCTGGGCGTGGTGGCTCATGCCTGTAATCCCAGCCTGAACTGCACAGCAAGACCCTGTCTCAAAAAGACATTTAAAAAAAAATCTTTGTTAAGTCAACATACTGTAGATAAAGCAGGAGCTCACTGACAGGAAGCACCATTGAAGCTGACATCTGCTTATAAGGCAAGTGGAAGAGGGCTGAATGTGGAGCCAAGATAGTTAGCAGAGTAGGACCAGCTGGTCCTGAAGCTTCAAATCATATTTCAAGTACAGATGAATAGAAGGGCACCCTTGGGAACCAGCCAAGGAAGATTTGCCTAACCAGTTGCACCTGCTCCCAATGCAGCCCCTTCCATCAGCTCTGCATGAGCCACATGTGCCTGACTGGTCCAGGCCTCTGGTCAGATCTTATCAAGCTGAGTCCTGTCACTGATGGACTCAGTATGATCTAGGTATGCAGCCAACGAACCCTGCATTTGCATTAAACAACTTCCACTGAAATCCAATCCTTTTTTCTACTTTTCCACTTGGCAGCTTTCCTGGTTTTAACTGCTTCATTGTGCTTCTTGGTGTCCTTGCTTTTGAAATAAAAAGATGAAACACTTAATTCAAGGAGAGGTATATTCATTTTACTAATTGTTCTTCATTTACCAAATGAATATGGTATTGCCTCAGGTTCTTTTCCTCTATTTAGATGGAACTCATGAAGTAAAATGCAGCTCTACTGTGGTGTCACGCACCTGTAATCCCAGCACTCAGGAGGCTGAGGCAGGAGGATTACCATGAGTTCAAGGCCTGCCTGAGATACATAGTGAGTTCAAGGTCAGTCTGAATTACATAGCAAGACTCTGTCTCAAAAAAAAAAAAAATTCTGCTAGTAATCCTGTTGTCATCAGATAATAGCAGCTACACTGCTGCTGGCTGCCACCAGCCAGTGTTGGCTTGTGCTGCTGGTCTTTATAGGTTGCTGGTCCCTAGAGCTCTTCAGGGCTAACAGCCCCTTGTTTATTGCTTTCTTTTGAACAAGCACCCCTGGATGTGATCGGCTCTGCACATAGCTGCACCAGGGATCAAGTCCTCTGTGCATGAGTCTTGGGCATGCTTCAGATTTACACCATGACAGTCTCCTTGACTGATTTGGACCTTAGAATGGGCCTACTTCTAAAGCTTGCTGGGCCATCTTCTGCATTCCACTGTCACCCCAAGTGGGTCACACACTCTGTTTTGCTCCCCTGTGCCAGAACATATATGGGAGCACAGCACTGTCCTCACGAGAGACAGGGCCTGGTGATACAGGAAAGTCCCCCCCACTGCCAACTGTTCCTGACCCAGGCCTGCACCTGCAGAAGCACACCAGGCATGGGGCCAGGGCCAGGTTCCCAGCCTGTCAGAGAAGCCACCATGAGCTTGGGCTTTGAGGAGCTGGCTGGCACATGAGCATAAGATGTGGTCATTCTGAAGGCCTGACTCTTCAGGGCATCTTTGCTTTCCTGGGCTGAAGGCAGAAAGGCAGGAAAGAGGCTTGGCACTGCTTATAGGCTGACAGGAACTTGAGTCATTTCCTTTTTACCAAACATATTTCTAAACAACTAAATGTTAGCTTCCTGATACAGTGATGAAACACCCAAGGTAACCCATTTATAAGAAGAGAAGTTCACTCTGGTCATGGTTTCAGAGGTAGCCCATGGGAACTGGGCCTCCAGCCTTGAAGCTGTGACAGCATCATGGCAGAGCACTTGCTGGAGAAGCCCAGTTCCCTGCAAATGGAAGCAAAAGGAGAGGAAGGGTCCTAAATTCCCTTCCAGGACACCCCAGGGACATCCATTACTCCCACTGGGCTCCAGCAGGTTGGAAACCAGACCTTCAGACCTGATTTGGTGACAGTCAGACCATACCATATGGCACTGATGGGACCACAGCAAGAGCAGGATACACTGATCCACTGCATTTTGGGGTCTTGACGTTTTTCACTGCAGGCTGGATGCATTGGAGCTACAGCTACAAAAGGAACATGATAGAGATGCATGAGACCTCAGAGCAGCTGGAGATATGCAAAGGCAAGCCAGAGGGGTATGAGCTATGGAAGCCTCGCCTCACTAAGGTGACTGAGCGTAGAGTGCTGGTTACAGGGTTATAGGGCCAGGTTTCTGGAAGTATCATCTTCCTGATCCTTCTCACTCATCCTTGCCCTTGTCGAAGAGGGAGAAGCATTTATTACTTTGCCCTTCCCCAAGTTTCTGACATGTGGGCTGGGGAGAGGAGCAGGAAATTGATGGACCATGTTGGATGTTATGAGTTTACCAACAGAACTTCCATTGCAAGTTCAACACATGGCATGCAAGATACAGAAACTGGTGAAGAAACAGTGTCGGTGATCAGCGCAATGGAGACCTAGTCCCTCAGGATCCTGCAGGGTTGACTCTAGAAAGAGCAGGATCAGGGGGAACTTCTGCAGAGACAGCCACCCGTGGGCCTGGGGAACAATGGGCTGGGAAGCTGTGAGAATGGAGCAAGGAGTCTCAGAGCGGTGTGGAGAAGAGGATCCAAGAGAACCAGAAGGAATCGTGGCCTTTTGCTCTTCCCTCCGAAATCTAGTGCAAGCCAGTCTGGACTTGTGGTTTCCAGCATAATCAGAAGTCCTAAGGAGAGACCCAGATTGGTTCTGGTTTACACAGACTGCAGGACTCAAGGACAGAAGACAATTGAGGGACAGTCCTTGTCTGCCAGAAGCCTCAGTGGCATCTAGGTTCACATTCTTTCACTGTGCAGATCCCTTGTGGAAAACTAACCTGACCGTTTAAAATCTTACATCCAAAATGTGTTTCAGGGGAGAGGAGAGCCCACACATGGCCCTCAAGGAAGGAAAGTGGTCTCTGTCCCAAAGCAACATTCAGAGCAGTAATTTGGTGTAGTGAGCAGACCAGGCTGGGGCCTTTCTCACCGTAGATGCCAGGATCATCAACTCCTCAGTCTGCCTGCTGCTGTCCCAAATCCATGTGGAATGAGAGCCCTGGAAGACAGTCAAACCAAGGGTCACTGGCATCAGGGGACACTGGGCTAAACACTGGTCAGAAGTCCTGATGGGTTTCCTCATCCATCCTGGCAGTGAGGCAGGGACTCCACTCTGAGCTGGTGACCAGGGCCCAATCCTGGACAGAGCAATGGATGGTGGTTTGCTGGCCCCCTGTACTCACAGCACCAGGGGCAGCATGGACTATCTTTATGAACAGGACAAATCAGCAGCACATGGGAGGGTGAACCCTATTCCATGGAAAGGTACACTGGCTGGGTAAACCATTCCATGGGCTAAAGGTGGAGTGAAGCAAAACCTGTTCCTCTGTGTAAAGGTCCCTATCCATGGGGCTGAGTGAGCAGGGTCCCTGTAGTCCAACGTGAAGGCAATATAAGGTAACAGCCTTAGTTTTAGGTCTCACACTATGGGTTTATGAGTCCCCATAATAACAAACTGAGATGCAGGAGGGTCCAGGGATCCCATGACTATGAATATGATGCACAGGAGTCCAGAGTCACCTTATTGTGCAATTTTGGATCCCCCTTAAGGACCCGGCCATGGCTCCCTGAACCTTACTTCCTTTTTTCCCCAAGGAAAGATTTTTCCCTGGCCCCCAGGATGCCCCTCAGACCTCCCACCATGCATCAGCACACAGTGGATCCTCTCTTCAAGGTCCATCCTGCTGTCCTGCTGCTAAGTAAGGTCCCAAGGTCACAGCGGCAGAGAAGTGGTTCTCAGAGCCTCAGCAGCACATAAGACCGGTCAGGCCCAGCAGAGCTGCAAAGGTTACGTTTATTGGGACACAGGCTTGCATGCTGACAGTTGTCTCCTGGTGACAGTGGCACAGTGTGGGTGACACCAGGTCAGGATGCTCATGGGGTCAAAGCTATTATCAAACAGCCCCAGTGAAGCTCATCAGGGACCTGGGACAGCATGTGCACTATGGAAAGAGGTGGACACTGAGTACCATCTCTTTCAAAAGCTGACTGATGGTGGTGAGACAGCCCCAGCAGGACCAGGGTCATTCTGAGGTGCAGCATGTGGTGAGGCCCCATCACCATTCCCAGCACTGGAAAGAAAACAATAGAACAACTCCAGGTCAAGCGTGCTGTGTCCTGGCTGCAGGGAGAGCTGCAGCAGCCGTGTCCTCCTGGAGCACTGTGTCCTCTCACTGAGCAGGGCCTCTCGTGTGACCTCTATCCAGGTGCATCCACCCAGCCAAGTCGTTCAGACACCAAGTTTCCCACTCTCCCCATCTGTCTTGTGTCTGGGAGGCAGATGGAGACCCCGCTCTGCATGGGATGCCAGGGGACATGTCCCTGACTGGGAAACCCATCTACCCTAGCCTACTCTCAGGCCATCTCACAGAGATGGGTAGAATGACATGCACTCATATGTACAGACACTCTGAGCCAGTTCAGGGGACACTGTGCATTACCATGCTGTGGCCTTTCCTGGGGCCAGAGCCTGGTAAACTTGACCAGAGCACTAGACCCACAGACCCACAGGTGGAAGGGACCCTAAGCCACCTTTCCCACAGGAAGAGGTCTTTCCCCAAGGGGTAGGGGACCCCCTGAGGCTTGGTGGAGACACTGAGGCAGGCTGGCTGAGACAGATCATCTGATCATGAAGCCTGTGTTCATGGGTTAGGAACTACAGTCCTCAGGGAAGTGGCACAGAGCTCCCTTACAGGGACTTCATCTTCTGTTCCAGTGTCAGCAACATGCACCTGTGATCTAGGCAGGTGACCTAGGGCTCTGTGGAGCAGCTGCCAGGTGCCAGGTGTTCTGTGCCGTATCCCATAGGGGTGTCCTGGAGTAGTGTCTGGTGCCCAGATATCTGGAAAAGGGAGCTAGCCAGGGGTAAAAGAGACCACAGGTTTCCCCTTGCTGTCCTCTGTAACACTTGGGGCTGCCAGTAGCCTTGGATTTTCATGGGAGTAAAGGAAGCCACACTGGATCATGGCTGCAGATTTAGCAAACAGAATCTGAAGCAGTTGGGCACCTGTGATCCTTTGTGCTTGGAAGAGGAGACAGGACATGAGCCCAGGAGCTTGAGGCCAACCTGGACAATTTGGTCTCCTAAATACATAAATAAAACTATAAATTTCCATTTGGGTTGGCCAGTTCCAGGTCATGTGCTTGCCATACACAAGGCCCAGAGATCAATCCTCAGCACCAAAATCAAACAAAAGTCTCACAAACACAAAACCCAGGATGCTCAATTACATCTGAATTTTTAGAACAATAAATCATTTGCTTAGTATTAGGCATTTCTCAGATATTGCACAGGACGCAGGGACACTGACTCCTTTCTCAGGACAGACCTTTCTGTTGGCATATGTGAGGAGGTAGCTCTGAGCAGAGGTATCCAGGAAGGCCCTAGAAGATCATAGCTGGAGGCCTGCTGAGGCCATCATGTACTGGGCTGGCTCTGCTCTACCTTACTCTGTATTCTCTGAGTTTCAACTACAACCCTGGATCAGAGCCAGGAGCCTCAGGGCTGTAGATGCAATGCCCCTGCTGATGGGAAGCTGATGTTCAGGTCTCTCTGACCTAGGCTTTGGTTCAGGACTGAGTGGCCCTCTAGTTCCATGGCTGTGGTAGCTTCAGTTCCAGGTAGGCAGAGGTACAGGCCTTGAGAAGCCGCCACTGTCTGGGGATGCCCTTCTGTGTCCTGGTCTTTCAGCCTCCAGGTCCAAAAGCTCTAGCCCAAAGTCCTCTCCATCTTCCCTCTGGGTCCTGTGGCTCTGGTCACAAAGTGTACCATAGCACGTTTGTTTCTTCTAGTCACAAAGAGTGGGAAAGGGCAGCAGGATGGTGCTGTCTCTGAAGTAGAGGCCCAAGATCCCGCTTACTCCTCCAGGAGAGTTGGTCCCCCGCATCATCTGTGCCCTCTGATTCTGCCCATACCATGTGACAGTGCAGACCCAGTCCACACACCCAGGCAAGAAGGGCAGCACTGGGTCAGCCAAGGAGCACTGTGCATTGTACTTGGTGGGACAACCCTGGTGACAGCTGTGTCCCAGACACCCAGACATGCAGAGAGGAGTGACAGGAAGCAATCCAAGTGTTCCTCTTTGGCCTGTCATGCTAGGGCAGCCACCAGCACTATCTATGGTGGCCACAATAGGGAACCCCCCCAAGACCCTGAGCATCTCTATCTGTAACTGTGCCCTACGGTTTGTGCAGTTGGGACAGGAAATAGGGCAGCTCAGGTGTACCCAAGCCCTCCCCTCTTCCTGCCTGGACAGGCACAGATCAGTTGGGAATCATGGGTAGAGGATGCATGTGGGTGACATCTGGCAATGCCAGGCCCAGGTTCCTCTGCTTCTGTGTCTTCCTGTCATCTGCAGCCTCCTTGTTGTCATGGCCATCACCATGTCTTGACCCCAAGCTAACTTAAGTGTCCCAGGCTTCCTGGGGAGAGCTGACTTGGGCCTGTTACAGGGGGCCACTGGGGTTTCTTTGTCCCCTGGATCCTGAGGCTGCACACAGGACCTTGCCCCACCACCACAGCCAAGACTGGGTCCGGAGCTCATGGCTCTCCTGCCTGCCTGGCACCATGGGACTGTTGGCCCTTGTCCATTACCCCTGTCATCCTGGAGCTAGGCACAGAGGTCTGTGTGTCCCTCTGGGCTAGGGAAGGGTCCGGCCTCTCCAGTCAGTCAGTCTTGAAGACACCCAGCCCACTCACAGCTAAAGATTCTCTGAGAGGTGCCGTGCCTGATGGGGCCACAATCCCAGGTATAGTGTCCTCATCCTCATGGCCCTGGACTGTCCCCACATGCCCTGCCCCTTTTCTCCCATTTCACAAGATTTAGTCCCTGGTTGATGGCTCTAGTGTTTAGGGACCAAGATGCAACAGAACATCATGGTATAGATATCAATTCAGTCATCTTTCCCTGGGGGAACTTTGCCCTATATCTGACATATGTAGTCACTGCTAGCTGGAAGATCAATCCAGGGAATACCAGAAAAGTAAAATGAAGGGGGGAAAGTGGAAAATTAAAAAGAAAGGAAGATTTATGCTTACAGAAATTGCATTTTTGAGGTGATACAATAATGCTACTTATGCCAATTAACATTCAGTTGTTGACCAGCTACCAAGCTAACTCTGTACAAGTTTCAAATAAGTTGTCTTAGTTACTTTGTCACTGAGGTAGAATACTGAGACCCACAACTTAAAAGAGGAGAGGTTTATTTTGACTCAGGTTTTAGTCCATAGTTGGCTGGCTCCTAGGCAAGACAGCACGGCACAGGGATCTGGCAGAGAGCAACTTACAGCAATGGCAGAGGGAAGCAGAGAGCAGAAGGATGTGACGGATTAACTAACCGGCAACTTATAACACTCAGCTGAACTTAGCATGCAGCTAGGGTGGAAGGCCCCCTGAGGACTGCTGCCAGCAGCATAAAAGGAGATCTGGAGGGGAGGGCGGTGCTGCTGTGCTCCTGGAGGAGCTGGTCACGCTGGCTTTCCTGACGGAACTCAGCTGTTCTCACTGTGGGAGGAGCTCTGCTCCTCACAGTGGCTGAGGATGGTTGGGGTTCTCTCCTGGGGAACTCTGGTCCTTACCTTGAGTGTCACTTCCTGGCTCCACCTGCTGGCACAGATTCTTCATTCCGCTGCTGCAGACTTTCTAGGTTTCACTGACCTTGGGCCTTCCCAGTGCAGATCCTTGATACACACTTGCATGAGTCATTGTTGTGGGCTCTAGGTCTCCAGCTGGACTTATGGAAGACACTGTCATGAGATCCAGGCCCTCAACTTAATTCTTTAGGTCTCTAGTGTGTGGAAGGATCTCTTTTGCATTTGATTCTTTGGATGAATACTATAAAATAACCCTGCATGAAATCTTTTCCCGTGTGAATCCTGATTACAATAAGGAAAGAGCAAGGGAGAAAGAGCAAAACCTGCCCAGTCACTCCCACAGTGGCCCACTCAGCTCTAAACCCATATGGTCCAGTTACCCCTCAAAGCCCACCTACAAGTACATGAGGCTTTGGGGGGACACCTAGCTATAAACTACAACAACACAAATCTATGCTGCAACTCTTTTTATCTATTTTGAAAAGACAACATTCATATACATTTGTAGTCATTTATGGAGACAAACAAGATGAATCAGTTTCTTACAACCAGGAACAGTTTCTTCTGGACAGCCAGTCACAGTCGTCTGCCGTGTTAAGTTTCCTGCCTAGGCTGCGGCCACACACAATGGTGTATAGTGTGACCCAAGAAAATCTTTCACCTCAGGGCCAGGTGTGAAAAAGATGAGGAGGAGTCTAGGTCCCAGAGCTCCCTTTAAGGACATGTTCTCCAAGATCGGACATCTCACTGAGCCTCATCCAGCTCCCCACAGCACTTCCAGAGCCATGCTGTGAATAGCTCAACTTGGTGCCCCTGCGCTCCACATGGGTCTCATGCTGCCTCAGTCAAGAGGCTCTTGTGCAAGCAAAATGAGGAAACATAAATGAAGAGTAGTTATGCAAACCTGACTCTAAATATTTATCTCAAACATTTCCTGTCACCACCTTCCACGCATTTTAAACAGATTGGCTCTCACTGGGCACTCTACAACAGCTCAAAGATGGCAACAGCCCTTTCCCTTGCTTGCTGAAGCAAATGCTCTTAATTCCTGGAAAGGCAAGACATGCTGCATCCCACAGACCCAGGGTCAACACGGGGTCCAAGTCACAGGGATGGCAAAGCACCCAGGGCCCCATTCAGTTGATAGGAGGGGGCAACCAAGCCTCAGGGGAAACCTTACCACAGCCTGGCTTTTAAGAGCACACAAGACAGTTTTATGATCAAGGAATCATAATGGGGACAGAACACAAAGGCATAAAAATGTCCTTCCTGTCCTGCATGTTCTTGGTAAATGGTTGGGAAGCAGTGCTCTGTGAGCTTCCACTGGAGACGGGGCCTGTGGGAAGGATAGTCTTCCAAGCAAGGGAAAGAGACGGCTGGCTGTAGGTCAGGAATTGTACAGGGCTGGAGGGTAGAGCAAGTGGGAAGAATCAGAGAAAGGGTAGATGGAGCTGAGCCCCTAAGCATCACAAGACAGGAACTGCTCAAGACCGCCTGGTCCTGCCACTCAGATGGAACTTTCTCCTGTAGGCTCCCAAAAAACACTCATTTTAGGCCAATTTTAAAGCAGTAATTAATAAAAAGTTAAAAGTAAAATAACTACCTCTTGAGCAGTGAAAGGACCATGTTTTCAGCTTAATGCATGAGCGCTGGTAGGGCAGCTCAGTGGCCAACGCTAGGAGAGCAGCCCCAGGTCCCGGGTTCCAGCCGCAGCCCTGCAAAGCAAAGATGAACTTATGGACAAAAATCCAGAGGATATTTAAGTGTGCTACAGAAGGAGTCAAAGGAGTTAGATAAAAAAGCAAATGCATAAAACCTTTGTTAATATGTGCTACTGGTCTATTTATACTGATTCAAAAGGGTGACTTAATGAATTTGAGATAAATGAATTTTATACTGCATTCCAACATGAACAATTGCATTCATTCTTACAGTCACTTCTAGGACAGGCACACATTCCATCCTTCCTCCACAGATGAGAAGGGGATTATGCATGCCATTAAAAGGCTGTGATGCAGGATGTTACATCTCTGATCGCTGGGCATCTCTGCCAAGCTACAGAATCTTTTGCTAGAGCAGAACAGTCTTAATATTATTCTCATGGTATTTCTGATTATGGGTCATTACTCTGGCTAAAGGGTCTTCATGTGTTTCACTTTGTGTTGAGTCCTTGAACAATCTTAGAATCACTCTTCTCACTCTCTCTACCTAATCAGTCAACAAATCAATGAATTCAACAAAGTTACCTACAGCTGGGGATTTAGCTCAGCGGCATAAATGCCTGCCTGGCAAGTGCGAGGTTATGAGTTCGAACTCCGGTACCAAAAAAAAAAGTCACCTACTATATGTCAAGTACCACAAATAAGAGAGGCAGACCTGTGGTCATCAGGGTCAGAACCTGGTGATTCTGATGCTCATCCTGTCCTCCCTCAGCCTGGTGGGAAGACATGTAATCAGGCCCAAGATCCTGAGTGTTGACTCTGCCAAGGCGGAGTCCTCCTGAGGACCCCATGGTGTCAGAAAGACCTCCTCCCAAACATGGCTTTGTTCAGGCTGCACTCCCTGAGGGCGTGGCCTCATTCAGTATAAAGTTCCTTAACCTTTGTTTAAAATTCTTTATTATAATTTGGGAATAAAAAGCAATTGCATTTCTTTTGATGTTTTAAGAATATGTATGTTCTACAGCCAATAAAAGATAAACGAAGAAAACACACTGAGGGAGCCAGCGAGGTTGACCTGAGGTACAGCTGGGTGCCCATGGAGACACAGCAGCACCTGTCCTCCCTGAGGCCCCAGCCACTTCTCAACTGTCTCTTCAGCTCGGCCATATCTGGAGTCTTCACCTTTGGGAACTTTTGGGAACTCACGCACATTTGTTGTAGAATGCAAAGCCATGAAGAGATAACTAATGTTGCCACTGCCAGGGATTTTCAAACTCCAGTCTGGGTGGGTGGCTTAGTAAAACTCAGGCTGGGCTGGCTCAGAGTTTCAGGTTCTGCAGGTCTGGGGTGCACTGAGCAGGACCTCACCTGCCCAAGCCCTGCCCTTGGCAGTCCTATGCCAGGCAGTAGAGATGAGTGTGGGGCTCCTGGGCCTCCTGTTTCCTCACTGTGCAACAGGCACCTCTTGCTGCTGTCACCAGGCTAGATCAGTCAACACAGGAAGCGCTGTACGCTGCAGCTGGCAGAGGCAAGCAGTCAGTCAATGAAAGCCACCAACATCGCTATTATACCAGGTCCTGACTCCTTAATCTCTCTCTACCACCAAGACAATGAGGTGAATATACTTTATTTCCTTTGAATTCCTTTACCAAAGCTGCACACAGCAGTGTACCTGACTCCTCTCATAATTTATTAACATTTAAAATTGAAAGTTAAAACTTAAGAAAAAAGGGAGTGAACCTATATGGACAGAAACTGTTCTTGACAACATGCCTGCAAGTGTTTGTCAGATGGCTTTTAGGTACCTCTACATTGTAAATGAAGCTTTCTCCAGTTTCCAGCATACTGAAGGTGTTCTTTATAAAATAGCATTAAGGCATCCAACTACAGTTGCCGCAGGAAATTTTACCTCCGTGTTTCCTGAGATGTTTCAGTCTTGAGTTAGGATCCTCTGGAGAGCAGAGACAAGGCCTGCGAGGGGTGGCAACACATCCCTTGGGCCTTATTTCATCTAGAAGGGTTCTGGCCCCACTTAGTCCTAGGATAGCTTTGGGGCAGCATAGCCGGGCCTCATTCATCGTCTGACTGGGGGAGGAATTGTACTACCAGGTGCACAGCCACAAGACTCGCACTTTATCTCTGTGGCCGGCGCCTTTTACTTCTATTCAGAAAAGCCACAGCTTCTTGACTGCGGCCGACAAGCATCCTTGTGAAAACTAAACCTGAGTATATTCCACTTCCAAATCTCATGGTTTTTAGCAGTCTTTCAAAAACAGAAAACCACCGACAGATCCTTTAAGAAAGTGGCGTGTTTATCTGATTTTTTTCAGTTTCCTCTAGTCCTCTAACTAGAAACGGACATTTACTGTTGTTTCCCTGACGTCAAAATCAACTCTATTTTTAAAATGTCATTAAATTTAAAATTTGTTAATAAGTTAACTAAATTGACTTTAGTAACATCTTCCAACTTCATTTTATGATTTAAAAACCTAACGTTTAACATGAAATTAAAAAATAAATTTTTACTTCATAAATGGACATGATCCAGCAGACGTGCGCCTGGTTCTTGCAGAACACAAGCAGCCCAACCCGAGGAAGCCCCTGCTCCACAGGGGCAGAGCAGAGCGGCTTCGGGTTCTCTATCGTCTGCTGCAAATCTGCGCAAACGGTGGACGTCTCGCCGCCGAAAGACTCTGGCAACAGGCTCAGGGTTTGGGGACTCAACGTGATTTCCCCCAAGGCAAATGCGCCCGCGGGAAATTTACCGATGAGAGCGCGCGTGGACGCAGGCGGAGGGGCAGCTCGTGAGAGCCTCTGGGAAGCCCGCTGGCCGGCGCTCCCACGGAGGAGCTGGAAAGTGGGATCCGCTCGCGGGTGTTTAGGGTTAGGGTTAGCGAGGGAGAAGCTCATTAACCCGCAGTGCAAACACGGCGCTTGAACCGCCGCCCTGACCTTGCGACCTCCGGGGAAGGAAAGCACACCGCAGACGAGACCCGGGTCCCTCCTACGTCCCGCCCTCGCGCGCTCACCCTGGGCCGTCCCCCCGGCACAGCGCCGTCCCAGCCGTCAAGGCGCAGGCCAGGACCCAGACCCCAGGCCGTCGCGGCAGCGGGCGTCGCTGTGAGGTGCAGGCGTCTGCGCAGTTTAGATAAGGCGGGCGCGGCCGCCGCTGCGCAGGCCGATTCGCAGCCTCGCGGGGCGGAAGGGAGGGGCGCGCGCGCGCCACGGCACGCGGCCAACAGGCGACGCCGACCACGATTCAAATGGCCAAGGGGCCAATGGGAGCGCGGGAGCCTCCTGGGGGCGTGCCCGGGCCTGGTCTCGCAGATCGCAGGTCAGCTAGCTGGCAGCGCCGTGTCTTTCCCAGAGGCTCACTTTTCCTCGGAGCTGGCGTAGGTGAGCACCGCCGTCCCGTGCGGTCCTGTATGATCCTGTGCCTGTTTCTGCCCTGGTCCCCCTCCCCGCCGGGCTTTAAGCTGCACGGGTCCTGGGCATTGCGGGGGTGGGGCGGACGACTGCGGAAGCGGGCGGCACCGCGCACTTCCCGGCGGCGGGGCCGGGCCTTTGTCCCGCTAGCGCGCGGGGACGCGCGGATGCCGCGGCTGGGCTCGGTCTGGTGACTAGCGTGGCGGGGACGCGGCGCGCCGCTTGCTGGGCTCTGCGTCGGGCTTGCGGCTGCGCGGTGACAGCCGCGTCGCGCCCGGGTCGGCCTGGCCCGCGCGGGCCTCGGTCACCGAGCCGGGGTCGCGGGGCCACAGCCGGACGCAGGCCGCCGTCCTGCGTGTCATCCACCTTGCTGCGTCACTGTTAGTCCGAGAAGCGAGGACAGGTGCAGCGGTCTCTTGACACTGTGACCGGGGGCTGGGGGAACAAGCGTCCCGAGAGCGGTGTCGGGACCAGGGATCAGCACTGCGCCGGGAGGCCGCGGGCCCTGTGTCAAAGAGCCCCGTGACACGCGCAGGTATCCGGAGCCGACCGCCCCACAACCCCGTCCCAACCCGCGGCGAAGACGGGCGCGCTCCGCATCAGTGTGCGGTAGCGGTCGCTCGAGAGTGATGGTTTGTCTTTTCCAAGCACCTGTGAGAGATCACTGGTAAGTCTCAACCCAGGGCAAATGCAAGCTCTGCCGCTATGCCTCATTCCTGTCCCTAGTAAGTCTTTTTTAAAAACTTGAGTTTAGAGACGCAACAGATGTCTTCATTTGTTTATCTCAGAATTTAATTGGTATAGAGGAATGTTTTTGGTCTTGCTCAGACTGCACAGACAGTGATGTGATGTGTAGTAGATGTGTGAGAAAATGGTAATCAGTGAAGTTTTGAGAAAATCTTGTGAGGATCTGTCCAAGATTCTCGAAGTAGAGCCCCGAAGTCCCGCGGCTCGTATTTCAAAAGCTTACGAAGTGTTTGAAACTTCACTAGCACTAGCGTCTTTATGGAGAAAGAAATGTTTTCCTCCTCCAGCTCACCTGTGCAGAGTACTGGTGTGCATCTGGTCTGAGGGGTGCAGGGAGGAGGAGGGACACCGGAGGAGGAAAGAAGCACGTTTCATTTCCTTCCTCTTTGCACTAGGCGGGGAGTTAGTTATGTGTTGAAATGGGCACTGCTTGCAGCTGTCACCTTCCGGCCTTGTGTCCCCTCCTTGTCCAAAAGTATCCAGTGCCCCTCTCAGGCTCCTTAGATGACTGCAGCCAGGCCCCGCGTCATTCCTAGGGCTCATACCTGTTCATTAGCCTGTGATGCTATCTCAGGAGTGGGGGAGAAAGCATCTTTTTGTTGTGCACATACACTGACATCCTCTAATCACTAGATAAGTTCTTGTATTTTCTTCCATCTACCAGTTTAGGGACTCTGTAAACAGCAACCCTGTGTTATCTTAGGTGATTAACAGTAACGATGTGTAAGTAGGAAAGGCTTTTTTCTCCAGAGAGGTATGTAACCCATCTTTTTCCGAGTAAATCAGTCATCAGTCATCCTTAAATGACGTAGTGTTAAATGGGTATCAGTGTGCTTGTAAGATCCATTGAGAGTTGCTTAGTTGTACACACAGATGGCTTGGGAGAATACACATTTTTCATAGTGTTTGCTTCTTGCTACTTCATGTGGTGTTGGAGGGGTTGGCTTGAGTCACAGACTTTGGTGTGGAAGTGTGATTCCTTTGGTTAGTGGAGGAGAGGTTACTTCCTGGGATCCTGCAGCACCTGGCAGCTAGCTGATACTTCAGAAGGGTGGTAGACAGGTGTCTTGTGTGTGGCAGTTTTTGAAGGTTGTTTGTGGCTTAAGATGTATGCAAAGTATGATCAAAATATACAGTAAGTATTTACATTTTAAAAAATTATTCCAGTAAAAGACATTGTATTGAATTTCCCTCAAAGTACTTCCTACACACTGTCAATCTTGCTACTTTCGAAAGCAATTTTGGAAATCCTCTTTCCAGACTGTCTTTATGACTGATCAAAACTATAGTGAGTGCTGCTACTGAATGTCATGAAACAAAGGCAGGCTTGTGAAAACATGACAGTGTTCACTAGATCTTATTCACTAGATCTGGCACTGTACAACTTCTGGCGCTTCCTCAAAATCAAAATGACCATGAAAAGTAAATGTTCTGAATCAATTCAGGACATTGAGGCAACCAGGACAGCGCAACCAAAGACAGTAAAGAGGATTTCTGGAACTGCTTCAGGAAGAGGCAGGGACGATGAGATGCATGTGTTTGAAGCAAAGGGAGAGTATACTGAGAGAGATTAGTGGCAGAAGCTTTTACTGTTAATAGATCAAAAAAAATTCAGGCATTCACTGTATTTTATGATCATGCCATCTGCAGGATTGTGGACCATGGTTTGATACAGGGAGAAGAATGTGATGGAGCTGATGTCTGTGGTCGTTTTAAGGGGTTGACTTTTGATGAAGGCCAGATGTATGCTGGCCTGGCTGGATGGTTGGGAGTTCCTTTGATGTGCATTAGGGCTGAAACTAAGAGTTGTGAAACTTTGTGAAATAAACCCTAGAATTGCTGTTCACTGTAGCTATGAAATTATTTTCCTTCCTTTTGGTAGGTTACAGTAATGTTAGTTGAACATCCATGATTTTCCCAATCTGTTTCGTAGTTTCCATTTTCAGTACAGTGTTGTTATGGTTGCGTCTTGATGTCCTTCAAAGCCTCATGCAATTATAGGTGAGGCTTTTTCAGAGGTGGATAAATCTTGAGTGTGTGATGCTAGGATAAAAGGTATGTGATAACTGAATCAGTCTGCTGATTGATTTGGAAGCACCCTAATCCCAGTATCCTCAACAGAGTATAAAAGGTGCAGAAAAAAGCTCGTAAGGTTCCCTTCCCTTTTGCCCACCGTGAATATTTCCCCTTTGTGACAGCCTTCTGCCACACCACCCTGCGGTGGAACCAGCCAATTATGGACTGAAACTTCTACAAACTGTGAGCCAAATAAACCTTTTCTCCTCTAACTTTGGGTGTCAGGTATTTTGTCTCAACAACAAGGAAAGTAACTAAGATAGGTGACTTGTTATAATATGGTTAATAGCATTTGAAAGCCCTTCAAAGACAGAAAATGTACCTGTTGTAGTCAGGGGTTGTGCAGAGAACAATTAGAATCAGGACATGGAGTTTATAATACTATTTTTATGGTGGTTACCCAGAGTTAACACGAGAAAGTGCAGGCAATCTGTCCACAACACTAAAGACATAGAATATTAGGCAAGGGCCTGAATCCCACAGTAAAGTCCCACATGAGTCTAGAAGAAGAGCCAGAGCTCATGACAGTGCCTCCCACGAGTTCAGCTGGAGTTCTAGAGCCCACAAGAAGGACTCACGCCGGTCTCTTTTATGGATCCATGCTGGGAAGGCCCAAAGGTCAGCTGTGGGAGCTAAAAAGGCCATGCCAGCAGGGTGAAGGAGCTGTGCCGGGAGGTTGAGGGTTCTACACTGGAGCTGAGAAGTCACACTCAAAACAAAGACCAGGGCTGTCCTGAAAAGCACCACAGCCATCCTCAGCGACAGGGAGGCCCCAAGCTCCTCCGACAGTAAGCACAGTTGAGTACATGCCAGGAAGCCAGTGTGATGAGTTTATCCTGGAGATCAAGCAGCACACGCCCCCACTTCCCCCCCAGCCAGGAAGCACTGGTGGATGTGAGGACCAGAGTTTCTCCAGGAAATCTAACTAGGCTCAAACAGCAACACGTAGGAGAACCCTCAATGCCTCAACACCTTCCTTCTCCACATCTTTTTATGCTGGCAACTTCCCTCAGGTGGAACACCTATGCTCAGCACCCTGCTGATTTAATTCAGCTGGCATTAAATTGACCACCAGTTTTTAATCCATAATAGTAGCCTTCATGAGTTTTACCCTGAGTTTTGATCCCAGTAGGTGGCATTTTGCAGGTACAAACTACTTGATGTCTGTTATGTGTGGTCATATGTCATCCTTCTTGTCACTTCCATGCACTTTTGAAGCTCTGTCATTCCTTATAAAGTGATTCTAAATGAGATACCATTAAATTTGGGTAAATGTCCTGCTATTTCATACATTTGTGTTTTGTGCCATTGGGCAAAACAGTGAACTTAAAAGCTTCAGCTTTTTTATCTTGAAATGAGCAATTGTATACCCATCCTCTGGAAGCCTTCCTAGTCCTAATATCTTGGCCACCTAATAATTCTGCAAAGTTGTATTTAGTGATCAGTTTATGTAAAAGACAAACATAACTGTAAAGACTGACTGAATTTTTTTCTTTAATATTGTTCAGATTGATTTTGGAAAATGCCAAGTAGGAAATTTGCTGATGGTGAAGTGGTGAGAGGTCGATGGCCGGGAAGTACCCTGTATTATGAAGTGGAAATTTTGAGCTATGATGGCAAATCCCAGCAATACACTGTAAAATACAAAGACGGAACTGAACTGGAGCTGAAAGAGAATGATATCAAGGTAAGGCCCCTTTGGTGTCTCCACTGTGGCCTCATCTGCACACAGACCTGCGCACTGGCTGCCTCTAGGGTTTAGTCTGCTTTGTGGCTGGAGTTTACTCTGCTGATGTTGGGCACAGAGAGGAGGGAAGGACTCTAAGCTTCAGGGGGTGACAGGTGGTGACACGAGTGCTGAGGACAAAGGGGGAATGGTCAGGTGAGGGCAGCACACTGAAGACTTGGGATAAGGGACTGCGGCCTGGTGTCAGAAGGGGTGGGCTTGGGGCAGCAGAGTGCGATGCAGGAGCCAGGCTGGGGTTCGGTGCTCTGGTACTCCATGCTGGGGCCAAGCTTCCTCAGGATGCTGGAATCTATTACATCTGAGTCTGTCCTGCGACCCATCACCTGTGAGGGAGGCCTGGGTAGGATTGCTCATGTCAGATGCTGTAGCCTAATCCCAGCCACTCAGGAATGTGAGACAGTGGGCCTCGAAGTGAAGTGAAGCCCCAGATCAAAAATGAGTACGTAAATATGCCATAAAAATTAATTATGAAGAAAAAAGATACACAAAATAAAAGCTGCAAGTGTTCTTTAGGTTTTACAAACATGAAAGTCATCTATGAAAATGCTTGCAGGTGTCGGCACCAGTTGTCATTTCTGTGCCTGCTGTGGGTCAGTCACATTTGAGCCCGAGTCCTGGGGACTGCATTGCACGCACCCTTAAGGATATCACACCTGCCTGCCCTGCAAGTGCTGCAGCCTGCGAGCTGCTCCAGGCCTTGTGGAAGGAGATGGGTGGGACCTATTCTGATAAACCTTTCTTTGTGGATACTAGAATTGGAATTTTAGATGGTTCTCACTCTGGGATTTTTTTTCTGCATGCTTTTGTGAGAAGTAAAAACCATCCTTAGCTCCAGATGAGAGTGAGACCCAAAAACTTCATGTGCTGTATTTGACTGGAGGTGTCCCCCCACAGTCCTGGAAGCCTGGGGCAGGCAGGTGACAGTGCCACATCATCCACTGGGGTTCAGGCCTACTGTGAGGGTGACTCTTCTCAGTTACATGCTGATTTCTTTCACCTCCTGGTCTCAGTTTCCCACATGCCAGGGATGGCCATATTGGTGGGAACAGGAAGTATGAGGGGCCATAGCTGCCTCTGGCTGTCTCTGCAGAGCTCCTGGGCCCAGCCTCATCATGGGGCTCAGAGTTGGGGGGGTTGCCGCTGTCCCTTCAGTGTGAGTGGCTCTGAGCACCATGGTTTGTGATGAGCTCTTTGCCACATCCTCCCCTCTAGCCTTTAGCATCCTTCAAGCAGAGGAAGAGCAACTCAGCGTCCAGTTCTCCTTCCAGACGCCGAGGGAGCCGTGGGAGCCGCAGCAGCAGGTCTCGGTCTCGGTCACGGTCACGCTCCCAGTCCCCTGGTCGGGCTCTTAAAGGGTCCCGGAGATCTACTTCAGCTTCCCATCAGGCCGATGCAAAGGAAATGAGGAGGGAGATTCTGGAAGTTAAACTGACTCCACTCGTATTGGTAACTTGTCTTTATCCTTGTACCATGTGTGTTTTACCTGTCCATAACACTGTTGTGCCCTGCAGGTAAATGTTTATTCTAGTTGCTTGCAATTAATAATATTAAAATGTCCACGAAGCATCAATTCTGAGGTCAAAACTTTTTTGTGGAAAACATAATTCTTTTAAATTAAAAAAAAAACAAAAGACAAAAGAGGGTCAAGCCTAGACCTGGGCAACTTACCAACTAAGCAAGACCCTTGTCTGTAAAAAGGGCTGGGAATATAGCTCAGTGCCAAGACCCTGAGTTCAGTCCCTACTATTTTCCCATTACCCCACAGTGCTATTTAATATTGTCTTTAAAAATGATGTTTAAATTTGAAATAGATGTTGCTTGTAGGTCGAACTGAGTTTATACTGTCGAAAAGTTCCCTGTGAAATGAGCTGTGACTGTTGCTCTCGCAGCGTCACTCGCAATCTCTTCTCCTTAAGGAAGCTGTCAGTGGAAAGACTTCGAGTGCCTGCCCAAGAATCCTGGGCCTGAGGCATTGTAAACCTTACAAGAGCCCAACAAGAAAATACTTTAACAAAAATTAGAGTAGAAGTTATCTTGTGACCTTTTCATGTAGTTTTACTTCTTTTTTGGATGAAACAGACTTCTAATAACCTTTAAAAACTGGGCTATATGTATACTGTTTTATAGTTAAATTTTAATTTTTGTTCTTTTAGACAAGGTCTTGCAGTGTAGTTCAGGCTGGTTTTTAGTTCACTATGTAGCGCAAGCTGGCCTTGAATTCGTGGCAGTCTTTGTGCTTCAGCCTCCCAAGTGCTGAGATTATGGGCATGTGCCACCATGCTTGGCTGTAGTTAAATTTTTAAAAATTTAAAATATTGGGAATACCCGTTCATGGCATATTTTTTACACCATTTGGTATGTGACGTAGTATGGATATACCATTCTTCACACAGATGGAAGGTAATTTTAAAGTCAGCTCCTCCGTTGAAAGCCGTCTACTGTTTTCCTTTTTGAGTCTTTACCACTGTAAATGTGGAGACATTGGGTTATGTCCTTAGGATACTTTTTTTTTTTTTTGGTACTGAGGATGAACTCATGAACTCCCAGCTTGCCAGGCAGATGAGGCATTTATAATGTTGAGCTAAATCCTTGACCCCGTAGCATAAAGTCTCACAAGTGGAGCTGCTGGTGGTGTGCAGCGCCATCTTGTGGTTTAATGCACGTGCAACATCACTTCCAGAACGTGTGTCAGGGTTGATAGTATGTGAATGCCATTTCTCATCTGAGTATAGACTCTTTTTCCAGTGTGCCTGTCAGAGGTTTCAGCCTTTGGGTCTGATTTGTGATTTGCTTACTGCCAGTGAGTTGAATTTTTTGACTCTTGGACTTCAGGGCCAGCTGGGTGCACAGGGTAAGGGAAGTGCCGCATGCTGCCTCTGTGACTTTCACGGACTCACATTTCCAGTAGCATCTCTTTGGCTCCTTGGTGGCACAGAGCTGCAGCCTGACTTGGCCTCCCAAGTGTCTGCTGGCTCTCTTCGTTAGTCCGTAGGACCTTGATAGGGGTTGGGCCTACATCCTATGTGACACTGACCTTTGCCACCTGGTGACTTATAAAGGAGCAAAGTGACAGATGTTAGTTGTGGATTCTGAGAAGCCTTCTGTGAGGTAAATCTCTTTTCAATCAGATGAGAAAAGAAGCTGAGTTGGAAAAGAGATGTGGGAGAAGGGGAGACTGAGGGTGAAATAAATAGCAAGGGGCATGAAATTGGGAAGGTAAACTATCTCACCAGTAATATTCTATAACGAGCCACTATTTCTTAATTTTCCATTCTAGGTTGTTTTGGTGCAGTAAATATCTTTTACTCATTTTTAATAACCAAGTAATGAATTAATTTGCCAGTTTTTACTTTTATTTGCTTCTCATACTAAATATTAGAGTATCTGGTTGAAATTATGATATTCAACCTAATTATATTTGAAAGATGTGCAGATGTATACTATTAGAACCAATTTTGAAGACTGGGAAATTCTAGGCAATTTTGTCCCTTTTCCTTTTTTTTTTTTCATTTTGAGGGTGATGCTGCAGATTGAAGGATGCTAGGCTTCACACATGGTACGTAAGCACTCTGCACTAAGTCCCCTTTGCTTTCTGGGTTTTTTTTTTTTTGTTTTTGTCTTTTTGAGACAGAGTCTCATCTTACAGGTCAGGCTGGCCTTGGGCTCACTTTGTAGCCTATGCTGGTCTCAAACTTACGACAATCCTTCTGCCTTAGCCTCCTGAGTGCTGGGATTACAGGCGTGAGCCACCATGCCCAGCTCTTCCTTTTCATTTTTATAAGGACAAACATTCTTTAGAATTAAAACTATGGAAGTCTTTGGCTTATTTCGCTGTTGGATTTTTAGTATTAACTTGTTTTCACTATCTTATATTCTGCTTACAAGCCGTTTGGGAACAGCATCAGCACATACAATGGAGGGCCAGAGCCCGAGCCGAGGGCGGGGAAGGACACGCCGCAGAGGGCCGCGCAGGCACCAGGTGAAGGGAAGAGCGCACCTCACAGAGAACCTCAGGTACACGTGGGATGCCAGGGAGGGCGCACCTCGCAGAGATGCTTGGTGTGTAAGTTGCTGTCACCTGGGGCAACTTTGCTTTGTTAACATTATTTCCCCCTCCTGAAGCACTTTGGGAATCATAATACTTTGTCATCTGGTCTAAGACTGACTGTAAGTTGGCCACATTTATTCCTGTTAGTATCTGCTATGTTGAGATGCTAAATTCCCTAGTGGAGTTGCCTTTGTGGAACTGTTGATACTGATACTTTTAATACTCTCTATATTTTAATTAGGAAAGATTCACCATGTCCCAAGAAGGCAGTTATGTGTCAACTCAGTATAGCCTTCGTCCCAGAAGAGAAGAGATCAAGTACAACCAAGTCGATTCTAAGGAAGAAAAGCCTGTTGCCAAAGAGCCTGATTCTCTGAGAACGTTTCACATGGCCACCCCTCAGAAGAGGGAGCTGGAGTTTGGGGGTGTCCCTGGTAGGTGTCCTGCCCAGGCCTGGCAGGCAGAGTGTGCAGAGACTGAGCCAGCGCCCTCCAGGGCCAATTGTGGAGTGCACAGGATGTCAGTGTGGCTGTGTTGAGCATCTTTCCAGCAGGCTGTCATAGCTTTGAGTATAAAACAGAGAAGAGGTGAAGGGATCAGACTGGATAGACAGCAGTGTGTGGAGGGGGACACTCGATGGAGACTGGAGAGCTGTGAAGACCAGGCCTGGGGGGAGGGTGTGTCTAGGTGTCACAGCTCAGAATTTGTGAATAGCTGGGACTGATGAGTGGGGCAAAGAGAGTGCTTGGCCATATGGGTCCCAATCCTGCATGGCTTTGTTGCTGTGTGTTTCATAAGTGGTGATGCTTGACTGGCTAGCTGGTTGTTACAGGTGTGTCCAGTGTCACCCAAAGTCTGCACATCTGACAGGAGTATATTTTACTTTCTGGAAATTTGTGGATACAGAGTTAAGATGAAATGAATCATTTCCAGATGAGTGGCTGTGGATTTGCTGGCCTCTCCCACTCCTCTGGTTTTTGGGGGAAATGTCTGGAGCTGGGGTCTGAACTGGGGCATGGCTGCTGGAGGTGCTAGGTGTCTTGTGTTTCCCACTCTGATGCCACTATTGCTTCCTCTGAAGGCAGCGTGCAGACGTGCAGAGTTCTGATGGGCCCAGCGGGTTGGTTTCAGTCTGAACCTGAGCTCAGGCCTCAGAGACTCACGTGAGATCTAAACTAGCAAGCTGACTGAGCCAGCTGAGGCTGATCACACATCCGCCACCCCGCAGGTGCGCTGCTCATCACACTGGGCCTGCCTGTCATGGTCTTCCTGCTGCTGTCCCTGTGTCGGCAGGAGGACCCCAGCCTCCTGAGCTTCCCGCCGCCCTTGCCAGTGCTACGTGACCTCTGGGAGCCCCAGGCCGGTGGGCTCTACCTCCTCTGGTTTTTTGTTCAAGCTCTGCTCTCTGTGCTGCCAATTGGAAAGGTAAATTTTCGCTGGTAGGACATAGCATTGGGAGACTTTTTAGCTTCTCTTCCATGGTTACATAGATGAAATCACAGCAGTTTTAAGGTTAGAAGCTGCTGTTGGTCATGATTAGCAAAACTTAATTCCTATGCCTTATAACACTTGCCTACTAGTGGAAATGTAGAAATCTGATTTTTGTGTGTTACTTTCTAAACAGAAAAGAATAGGCTAGTTTGCAAGTTGGCCTGACTCAGAGAGGTGGGGGAGGGGCGCTTCTTTTTCATTGTATATCATGTCAGATGAAGCACTTTAAGTCATTAATTGACTTTGATGCTTAGTGGACTTTATCTTTTTGTTTTTTAAATACAAGTTTCTGATCTTTAGTACCTTTGAGAAATAAGTTGTCAATAATATTTTTACATACTTTTCAGAGTTACATGATATCTTTAAAGTTTGTTCACATTGCTAAGTGTAATTTTTTATTCTTTCAGTAGAGTACTTTACTTGGATATATTTAAAAGATTCCTAAGTAATAAATAATTAATGTAAAAATCATTCTTAGAGCTTTGCAAGTTTGCCTGCTGCAGACCAAGGACCAGTTAGTTCTTTTGTCATGTGAGTGCTAGTCATGGGTGGAACACAGGTTCCAGGGCCAGGTGTACCTGCTGCCAGCTCCACAGGGAGGGGCCTTTGGTCGTTGCCATGGTAGCCCTGCAGCTACATTGCAGTGATGTAGGGTAGGGCTAGTTTGATGTTTACTATGAAAAGCAGTTTGGGTGGTTACAAATGAGATGTATATTCAGACTAGAGGGACTAAAAACATATATATATAACCTGGTGTATGTTAATTATACATAGTCACAGTCTCAAACACAGTATGTACTAGAGACCTTTAAAAGATAAATATCGTTTGCAATCAGCACGTGAAGGTGACTAATCCTGTGACCTGACCAGAAAGGCTTTGCCTTTCCGTGGGTTCCCTTTTGTATCTGATGAAGAACTCTAGACATGTACCTGCTGCTGTTGGAAGTATGGCTGTGTTTCCAAGCACTGACTTGGGAGAGTGAAATGGGGCTGGCCTGGGTAGATGGACTCTGCCCTCGTCCACCTGGAGCCTGTGTCCCATAACTTCTCCTGCTTGGGCCTTGCTTTGGAGGTCAGCTCCTCCTAGAGCTGATGATGTCATGGGGTGATTGTGTGTCTTAGGCAGAGTAGGGAGATGCAGGGTACACAACACCCAGTGTACAGGGCACTGCGGCTGGGAGGGAGCAGAGCCAGTTGGAAAGGAGCTCACAGGCGAGGGAGGAGAGTGGGGTCGCGCTGTAGTTTGTGAGCAGATTGCTGAGTTAGAGCCCTACCAGCTGCAGAGTGATGTGCTGGGAGGGCCCAGGAGGAGGCTGGGACAGACGGCTCTCAGGGGTCTCAGCAGTTAGCTTAGTGATTGGACTGATGTTCAGGAAAATTCCTGAAGGGGGAGTTGCACCCTCAGAGGCAGGAGCTCTCTCTGTCAGCACTCTGTAAGGTAAAGTTCCAGTTCCTTACTCTGAGAGGTCTGCTTCGCCAGGCATGCTGAGACTTAAGAGACAGTAGAAAACTATACACACGTGTGACATATCTTTTTTTGTGGAAGGATGATGATAATGTGCTTTTTTAACTTCTAAATTTTTCTTCTCATAGGTAGTAGAAGGATTGCCTCTTGTTGATGGAAGAAGACTCAAGTATAGAATAAATGGTGATTTTTTTTTTTAAAGGCTCAAATTAATCATTTGATAAACTCTTGGGAAATTGTACTCTTTAATAGTGGTGGCAAACCTATGGCATGTGTGCTACAGCAGGCTGTTCCTGAAGGCTCTGAAAGGTTTGCCAAACCACTTTAATCCATCAAAGCGGATTCCACCAGAGCTGTGAACAGGAGTTCTTAATAGTTTGAGGGATATGCAGATAAACTTTACCTGCAGCCAGCGGTAAAACTCAGGCCTTGTGAAGATAGTAGCCCCCAGTCGCTTGACTGTGCGGCTTACTGCTCTTCAGCCACCTTACCGATGTTACCCTGTTTACCTTGCGTTCCCTGCCTTACCTATGTGACCTTACCTGCGTGACCTTACCTACGTGACCTTACCTGCGTGACCTTACCTACGTGACCTTAACCTATGTGACCTTACCTACGTGACCTTACCTACGTGACCTTAACCTACGTGACCTTACCTGCGTGACCTTACCTATGTGACCTTACCTACGTGACCTTACCTACGTGACCTTACCTACGTGACCTTACCTGCGTGACCTTACCTACGTGACCTTACCTACGTGACCTTACCTGCGTGACCTTACCTACGTGACCTTACCTTATCTGCCTGTGCAGTGCTGGGGTTGGAACCAGCCCTGGCTTCATTCTGAGAAGCCCCCATCCTACTCAAGGTGTTGTAATTGCCTGAGGTTCCCACCCTAGGAACCCTGCATGAATGAGATGTCCCGTCCACTCCTGTCCTACTTTCTCAGCCGCCCCCCCCCCCCCATTCTCAGGTCCCCAGCTGTCTCTTACGTCTGTGTCGCCGCTCTTCTCAGGGCCTTTGCTGGGGACACCCGCACAAGCCGGCTGCCTCTTGCTCTCGCATGCCTGCGTAGGCAGCCTTGGGGCCCCTCCTTGCTGCCTTCTGTACTCTTGACAGTATGTGTCTGTCTGCTGGATCTTTCTCCAGACTCCGTGGGCAGCCCTGGGCTCATCCTGTGGTGTCTGGTGCCTGGAGGGTTCCTGGGGGAGGTGGGATCTCAGTGTAGTCAGGACAGCTGGTATGTGCCATTCTTCTGAATATTCACAAATTTTGTGAGAGTTTAATGAATATTTTCAAAAGTTTGTGTTAAAAATTGTTTGGGCTAAGGACAGTGTGGGTGTAAGTAGTAGAGTGACCCTGTTTCTTCACAGCCACTCTGCATTTAGCGTTCTGACAGAAGTAATGCCACTTGGGTCCTGAGAGTGACAAGGACACAGGAGTCCATGGTGGGAATGGTGGGCTGAGTAGGAGTCCCCGCTCTGCTCTGGGGCTGGGGTGCCTAGTCAGTAGAATGGAATCTGAGTATGAATTTTCATAGCCTCACGGGAGGCCGGGGTGTAGACCCAGCCCCGTGCCTGTGACCCCTGACTTTGGGGCTGAGTGTTTGGGTGAAGTGCTTTTTGAGGTTCTTTCCCACTTTTATGTATAGTGCTTCCTTTCAACTTTTCCTTAGTTAAAAGCAGATAATGACTGTTCACGCTGGCAAAGAATAAACATATTAAAATAGTCTACAGATGCAAGAGTACGGAGACAGCATGAAGGCCACCCCTCAGGCTGGTGTTGAATTGCATGCTCCTGTGCAGAGTCTGAATAGACAGCAGGGAGAGCTACACACTGCAGCGCTGTATCTGACAGTGTTGTAATTTCAAGCCAGCCCTGGGCTAATGCTGGTTCTTTCTCTTTTCTGAAGGATTCTATGCTTTCATCCTGACTTCGGCAGCCCTCAGCATGGCTCACCTCTGGGGTCTAGAGCTTCATTACCTGCATGACCACTTCCTCCAGCTGGCCCTCGCAGCCACGGTGTTCACTGCTGTCCTGAGCGTCTACCTCTACGCACGCGCTTGGAAGGTGCACGGAGCTGAGCGGTCACCTGCCAGCTGTGGTGAGCGCTGTGTCTTCTGGCTGTAGCAATGGCTTTGATCCCTAGGTTTATTTTGCAGGGCAGGAAGAGAAGTGGGAGGGAATAAAAGATGAAATGTAGAGAAGTGAATTTAAAGGAAGAAGACATTTTTAAATTTTTCCTCATATTTTACTATTTTTCCCTTCCGTAGTTTTAGTTACTTGATAATTTTATTGAACTTTTAGGAATTGTAAATTATGATAGATACTATTTTGTCCAGAATAGTAGATACCTTTTTAAAAAAAACAGTTGCTGTTGCAAATTGGTTAATTCTGACCCAAGTATTTGACATTTTTTTGTAAAGAATTTTTCTTTTTTTGGTACAGAAACTTGAACTCAGGACCTTGCCCTTGCCAGGCAGGTGCTTGTGCCACTGAGCTGTATTGCTGATTCCTTGACATTTTTAAAAAGCTGCTCATTTTAAAACAATTGTACATTTAAAAAAACAAACTTTGTTTCTTCAAAATTGGGATCTAGCCACCTGGGCTGCTAAGGTGGGTGCCCTTGCCAGAGGTACATCCAATGCCTTCTGTCACTGGGGCCCCAGGTGCTCTGTAGGCCTCATAGCCAGTGGGGCTCGACCCCTGGGGCTGGGCCCCTGGGGATGGCAGTGGGCTGGCTGTAAAGACTGGCTGTGTTTGGAGCTCCATTTGGGAAAATCTGCATTCTCAGGAAACGCTATCTATGATTTCTTCATTGGCCGAGAGTTGAATCCGAGAATTGGTTCTTTTGATCTCAAATACTTCTGTGAACTGCGCCCTGGGTTGATTGGATGGGTAAGTCATCTTTAAGAATTCTGGTTCAGTAGTACACATTTATCTTGCATTTAGAAACAAATAAACATTTTGAGGGATAATGATAGCTTTCTATAGTTCTGTCTGCTTGACATGAAGATGCCACTTCTAAGTTATGTATTCAAATTTGTTTCTATATCAATTTATAGTTATGTAAAGAAGTGATAGTATAGGTAGATTAACATTAGAAAACATACCTCCCCTTTAAGAAGGGGACTCTGCATCCTGACCAAGTGCAGCCTCAGTGGAATAGCACACCCAGCAGGTCCTCATGCCTGTCACCCACATCTCCAGGGTCGGGGCTGACATTAGGTACAGCGGCTCACCACACCACGGTGTCTCTGAGTGTTTCTGCTGCATACACCCTTGGTCTCAGGACCCCTATGGGCCTTGAGCACCCCTGCTGTCTTTGGGGAGTCTACTGTAGTCTGTGTGGTCTTTGTCTATACTGGCCTCTCATAACCTTCACCCATTTTGATCCTGGTCAGGATTTTGTTTAAGAGTGTGCCAGCTTGGGTTGGCCCCATATTTTGTCATGATTGGGGTATCATTATGTGTTTTGGTCAAGAACACCATGGAAACCACCTTGCATCCTCTGGCTGTGCCTGGGGTTTATGATGAGGTTGTGTCCTCCTTAGCACTGGCGGGGCTGACAGAGTCTGCAGTCTCAGCGGGAAGTCACCATGGCCCTGTGTTGTGATCAAAACTTGAGCCTCTTTCTTCCCTTGAATCACAGGTGGTGATTAACCTGGCAATGCTTCTGGCTGAAATGAAGGTACAGAACCGGAATGCTCCATCCTTGGCAATGGTTTTGGTTAACAGCTTCCAGCTGCTGTATGTGGTGGATGCTTTGTGGAATGAGGTAAGGAATTGTAAGAATCCATGCCATGTGTCTTGGGGAGTAGGTGAATCGCCTGGCTCCCGGCAGCCTCGCTGCTTCCACACAGAGTGAGGGAGGCTGCTGTGCAGTGCTGTCCAGGGAGGGCAGGTGCTGGTGGCCATGCGTCCACAAAGACACGTGGCTCTGCTTAACAACGACATTCTAAATATTTAAGATTGGCACATCTGGCTTTTGTTTTAGTGAGTGGTGACCAATTCACACAAGTAAAATTTAACTTCTTAGTGTCACATGGAATGCATGGATAATCATTGAATTGGAATGATGCTTTTTTGATTAAGAGGCATCTAATTCTTGAGTAAAGGGGCAGATGTTCAATGTTGATGTTTGAAATTACAAATTGTAGCTCTAACCAGATGGACTTAAAGCAGAATCAAGATAGCAAGGAAGCAAGCTTTCTTCAGAGGCTGTCTTTCTGCTTGTGGCTCTTCTCCCTGTTGGTTGAGCTGCTGCTGCTAAGGATTGCTGCATGTTTTGCTAGTCCTTTGCAGTTCCACTAAACATTCTCCTTTAAAGCATCACTTCCTCAGTCTTTTGTTATGATTTTAAAGAATCATATATACTGTTAACATTCGTAATTACCTCATTTCAAGTCATGTTTTTTTTTTTCCCCCAATTTTAAAAACAAAGTTTGGCAGCAGTGCACTGTAATGTTCCAGAAGAGATTTCTGAGATGGTTTGCTGACACTTGGAGAGGAGATCCCTCTGCTTGGAGTCTGATGGTTTTAAGGATTATTTGGGTGTCCTTCATCCCTGGTCCCCACAGAACCTGGACTCCTGAGTAGGCTTCCTGTGTGAGACTATGACAGATACTCAGGGTGACTCTAAGCGTGTAGCCCTGGCAACACGGTGACCTACTGTTGGGCAGCAGGGTCACTGCTTCTCTGAGGAGCACAGACCTTAGTTGCAGACAGAGTCATTCTACTCCTGATCACAGGTTCTTTCTGCGCCTCCCTTAGCACAGACGCCAGTGCAGCTCTGGGCACCGTGTGGGGTGATTGCTTGTGGTGCTGGTCCTTTAGATGAAGTCCGGTTCCCCAAATTACAGTGCTTCTGGAGTTAAGCCAGCAACTCAGTAGGAAAGCATTGGGCATAGGCATGGGTCACCGCTGCACCTGCAGCTGAAGCCCTGAGGAGTGTGGAGCTCGAGTTCCGGATCAGAGCTCTCCCTCCCAACAGCCTCGTGACTTTTTAATGCATTAGGAATCTGTCTTTACTTAGAGACTTAGCCCAGGATTGCTTTCTGTAAATAGGAACATTTTGCATCTGAGACAGGCTCTGGGCCAGAGAGCAAATGGTTGTTGGTTTCTGTGCATCCTTGGGCCCAAGAGGCGGCAGCTTTTTGTGTGTGGCCTTGATGTGGGGTCCTCTGGTGCCTGGCTGCCTGTAGGTGGCTGGCAGAGCACACTGACATCTTGTAGGGTCAGGGATAGAATCGCTGTGTCAGGGAGCATGCCACACCAGATAGCCAAGAATGCCAGCTAGTCCTGAGATGTCCTGAGAGTGCCCAGGTGTGGCTGCCGGGCAGAGCCGAGGGTCCAGAGCTGCCTGCAGGAACCACCCTGTCTCTGCCACACTGGTCCCAAGAGATGAAGCTGTCGCTTGACCCAGTTTCTGGTCAGCGTGTTTCTGCTGTGAGCATGCATATAAGCTGGGCGTAGTGGCTTACTTCTGTAATCCCAGCTACCCAGAAGGCTGTTTCAGTAATCATAACAGCCTCACACATTTGACTGTGGGTGGGCCCTCTGTGTGAAGGCTCTGAACAGTGCAGTTCTTTCTTTCCTGTGGTCCCTGCAGGAGGCGCTGCTGACAACCATGGACATCACCCACGATGGGTTCGGGTTTATGCTGGCCTTTGGGGATCTGGTGTGGGTTCCCTTTACCTACAGCCTGCAGGCCTTTTACCTCGTCCACCATCCCCACGAGCTGTCCTGGCCACTGGCTGCGCTAATCATCGCTCTGAAGCGTGAGTGTCCACCTCAGGCTCTGGGCATGGGGCCGTGTGCTGTGTGTTCTGCTCCAATGTCTGCTTGTCTGTCACTTGCATTTTAAGTGGCCCAGGCTAGCTGTGATGGAGGAGAGAGAATGGTGCTTCCTACCCAGGTTCTTGAATGGTTGTTTGAATGGACGATTTTAAACAAAACATGTTTTTTAAATTTAACAAATTTAAGTAAGTTAAATGTAAGTTGTTTTAGTAAGAGTTTATCTCCTCTCCTGCCTATCTGCTTTTTCAGGTGGTTATCATGAGATCAACAGGATTGGTCCTGGCTTTGCAGGGCTCACATCCTAGCCGGAAGAGAGGCACTGAGGTCGTGGCTGAGAGGGGCTTAGGGGCAGGAGTGCATGCCCTTGTTAGAGGGCCCAGTCTTTGATCTGACTTGAGTCCATTAGAGGGTGCAGGCTGTCCTGTGTCCTGCAGATCACATGGGGCATTATACCCCCCATTCAGCCCAGGGACAGTGAGCACTGAACATTAAATACAGCTACTTAGCTAGACTGCCTTGTATCTGTGACGGAAGAAAACACCGAGCTGTTGGTTGATTTGGGCTGTTTCAGTGCTGGTTGGGTTTCTGAGCCAGCCTTGCTGATGTGGGGAGGGCGATGTTTCTCCTCCCTCACTGCAAATACGGGTGCAGCTAGGAGCTCGGGGCTTGTGATTTCAAGCAGGTGTTTGTGCCAAGGCAGCAGGGCTGTCCCTGAGTGAAGGGTGGCCTGTGGGCAAGGGGACAGAGGACTACATCATTGTGTCTCAGGTTTTACTTTCTTTGTGGATATGACTGTAGTTGCTAGTTTTACCTTCAGGGTGGATGATAATAGATTTCAGAAGAGTTATCTTTTGAACTTCTGAGGTGAAGGTTCTTGAATTGTTTTTAAAAAATCAAAGAGTATTCTTTGATTTGGACATTTACTCAAAGCAGCAATTTTACCAGCAGAAATTACAAATGACTTTCATTATTACATAATATCTAAATTATTAATATAGAAAAATACTTTAATATTACAGTTTGTGGATATATAATCTTCCGATGTGCAAATTCTCAGAAAAATGCATTCCGGAAAAATCCCACTGACCCAAAGCTTGCTCGTGAGTACTGTATGTTTTTATCATATGTGTTGTAGAGGGATTTTATATGTCTCCTTTTTAGAGATGATTGAGAATGTATTTTTCTGTATAGATTTGCAAACCATTCACACTTCCACGGGAAAGAATCTCCTGGTGTCTGGATGGTGGGGCTTTGTCCGCCACCCCAATTACCTGGGTGACCTCATCATGGCCCTGGCGTGGTCCTTGCCGTGTGGTGAGTGCTGGTGGGCAGGAGCCCCGGGAGTGGCCCGGCCCCGCTGGGGTGCTGCTGCTGTGCCCTGTGGGCAGCACCTAACTCGCTCAGCTCCTGAGGGGAGTCGGGACTCAGAGCCTGCACCTTTACTTTATGCTTCTACAAGTAATGTTTTTGAGTTTAAGCCATGTCCACTGGCTGTTTTTCTCAGTAGAAAATGGAACTTTTAATTTATGATTCAGTTGTACTTAGATTCTGGAAAACTTTGGTTCTAGGGGATTGAGTATAAGCAACAAAAAACAGTGCCGTGACCTAAAACGCAGCCTGTCGCATTCTCGCCCGCAGGTTTTAAGCACGCCCTGCCGTACTTCTACGCGGTCTACTTTGCAGCGCTGCTGGTGCACCGGGAAGCGCGCGATGAGCACCAGTGCCGCAGGAAGTACGGGCTGGCCTGGGAGCGCTATTGCCAGCGAGTGCCGTATCGCCTGCTGCCTGGTGTGTACTGACCACCCGCCTGTCCGCTGGCTGTGTGTCTGTCCTGCGTGTGCGGGAGCAGAGAGCCAAATAGTAGGTGTTTAATGGAGCCATGGTTATTTGTAACAGTGAGAGGAAAAACACAAGAATCTTAGACTTTGCATTTTAATAGGAGAATTTCAACCATTACAGACCTAAAGACAGTTTTTCTTATAAATACACTGAAAAGAATACTATTAATATTGATAGGTTTTGCTTCTTTTCAAATTTTGATTTTTCCTTTTGCTAGTCAGCTTTTATCAATGCATTTAAAATAGTGCACATTTCTGTCCCATTGCAGTAAGAGAATAGAACTTGCATTTGTTTTTCTTTAAAGCATCTCCTAGCTATGTGAATTGAGAGGTGAGATGGCCCCGTGTGAAGTACGGAGCAGAGCCACTGGCAGCAGACACTGCCCCGGGCGTCGGCACCGTCTGTGTCTTAGCTTCAGCTTCTAAACCTGTGTTGGAAAATGTAAATAGCTTACTTTTATGTAATATATAGTAAGTGCAGGTTTTTTTGTACAGTATTTTCAATGTGAGATAATTGTCAGAACTTAATAGCTTTTTAACAAAACATTTTTTGTATTTTAAATTAAGTTTTATAAAGTAATATGTGTGAATTAGAGATGTTGAAGCAATTAGAATTCATTTAATATACTGTTAAAACATAGGAAAGGTATTGTTCTTAACCCAAAGTTTGTGATTTTGGCTTTGCTACCTCAACTGCAGGTTGTGTTTGCCTTTATAAACTTACAAACAAAAAATATATCTATGTAATAAATATATATTTTTGGAGGAACATCACTATTTAAACATTTTTACATAATGATTGAAAATTTTGCCATTTTAGGCTAATATTTTTATATTTTTTTACTTTTTAAATTCGGTGTTTTTGCTACTGTTTATCTCATGCAGTCTATTGTATATTTTATGTGTCATTTATAAAATTTTACTTCTGGTAAAAGAGTGCTATCTAAAAACAAGGGGTTTAAAATTGTTTAATGTATGTGCATAGGGTAGCTTTAGCCGCTTAATTATGATAAGCTGCTATAGCCTTATGCATTACTGTAATGGAACAGTAGAGCAGGCACTCAGTTTCTGTATTCAAAACAAAATTGTTCTCAGTATTTGAAGCATAGGGGAATGCAGTGCATATGTCATGTGTTACACAGGGGGATGCAGTGCATATGTCATGTGTTACACAGGGGGATGCAGTGCATGTATCGCGTGTACACAGGCTGCACTACAGTTTAAATAGTGGCCCTTTGGTATATGCAGTATTCATTCCGCAACTGGATGTGTATGTAACTTAGTGTCTAAATGTGATCATGAAGTTAGTTTGTTAATCTAGCATTCTGCATCCTATAATCTTTAAACATTGTTTTGATGAAACTGTCAGTATTTTACTAGCGTTGAGGTATGCAAGCAGTTTTTTCTTTGCTGTTTTTAATGCTTTTCTCCTGGCACTGGAAAGTGGTATGCAGTGTTTTCTGTGCTGGACCCACCTTGAAGGCTGGGGTGGGGTGGAAGGGATTTCAGTTCTCTCCTTAGTAATAAAGAAAGCTTGGTATCAAGGGCTGCTTTTAATTTTGCTTTTGAAACATTTCATAAGCTTTGCAATGAAGTTTTAAGTTGCAAATAAAAATATTGTTTTGGTCTCTTTGGAGCCTCGTTTCTTTCCTGCCTACAACTCTGGAGTGATTGGCACCAACAGCAAATGCCCACACTGGTTTTTCCTAGGTTCATTTCTTTAGAGGCTTCCTAGATAGACCAGAGGGAGTCCTGAAGGCCTGGCCCACTGCTGTTGGCATGATACGCTCAGGATACTGGGCTCAGAGGGGTTGGTGTTGGCAGGGACCCAACTCCCAGAAAATGGTCAAGTATTTAATATTGCTATTTGAGAAAATTGAGAAATGCTAAAAACTACTGTAGATTCAGTAATCCTTTCTGATGACTCTGTGTCAGTCATAGGAGCAAACATGTTCCTTTGAAAGGCCATGTGAAGTGTGCTGTTGAGTTTGGCTAGGAATGGGGGAGCCACACCCTCTTGTCTTACACTGTTTGCAGAGGAGGCCTTGTGTGTTGGCAGTTCCGAAAGGACAGATGGTTTAGACGGTTTCTCCAGTTACGTGAGCCGAGCAGCAGCACCTGAAGGGCAGCCAAGCAGATGCTTCCTTATTAGAGCTCTTCCAATGGTGAGGTGTGAGGGATTGGTGCCTTTCCTCTTCACGGTTTGTCTTTTGTTAGGACCCTACACTTTGCCATTTCTTCTTGGTTCCTAAACAAGAATGGTCTTAAAATTCCTTTTTTGTAGCATTCTGTGTAAATAGGTTCTAACTATTTTGTTTCTTAATGTTACTGTGAAAAGTCATGTTCTTTCTAGCTCATCATAACCCAGAGTGGATGCTGTGGACTGAGGCCAAGGTCATATGAGAAGGATCTGGGGCCAAGAGGCTGCACCTGGACAAGATTCTGACATACGAGCACTGGTTTCCTCGTGGGGCAGTTTGCTGACAACCTGCATGTTACAGGGGTTAGGGGATTACTTGGGAATTCTTCCTAGTGCTTGTGGTGATACCTGCTATTGTGAATTGAGTTAATGATCACTGTAGCAACAAAGGGACACTGAAATCTACCGATGGAAATCTTGGGATTGGTTCTCAGTGGATACAGTGCTGGATGAAGTGATGGGCCTGTCCTGTAGGAAGACAGCCTAGAGCACACTGTCATGTATGTATAGTCCAGGAGCAGAGGCCCCTGCAGAGTTGCAGTTTATATAAGCATCCCTGATCCTTGCCAGGACCCATACGGCCAGAGGTGGCCCCGGTGCTGCAGTGGGTCCCTGCCTTGCTCCATGTAGAATGCAAGATCTTTTCCTATGTGTGGAGGCCTCAGGGATGGGGCCCTACCCAGCTGCGCACGCAAGGGTTTGTGTCTGTGTACACCCATGTAAGTGTGATTAAAATCAAAACTTATGTGGGATGGAATTTTATTTTTCATTGTTCTCACACAGCAATGCGACCTGCATGGTGATCCAATGACTGGGAGGTTTCCTTGTGGGTAAATGCACTGAGGTCAGGAAGTTTGCTGGTAAACAAGTAGTCATCAAAGTTCTTGACCTCTCAGGAGTCTGATAAACCGGACATTCAAAAGTATAGCGTTCTGAGCCTGGCTGGTTAGAAGTATCATGCATTACAGCAGAAATCTAAAAAAAAAAATAGAAAATCCAGTGGTCACATTGCAGAGTTCCAGGGAACCAGTAGCTCACATTTTTCATAAGAGGGTTGGGGATTTGTGATGAATGCCATATACTTTGGACATGATCATTGGTGTAGCTGCAAATAGCTGTGCCTGGGAAGTTTGGGAGTCATAGTGGCTTTAAGTTCATACTCCTGAGAAATAACTAGATATTGGTGCAGCATCTATCTTACAGTTAAGCAGTATTGGGCCATTTTGTACGTTATTGTCTGTCTGATGTCCCCACCTTGCCTCATAAGGTCACAGAATAGAGGTAGCAGGAGTATATGTGGCTGGAGCAGGCTGTTTTTACCTTGGTTGGCAGGAAGTGAATGTCAGGAAAGTCACAGCATATCTCCAGAGGCAGTGAGTCCTCCAGGGTGTTCAGCTCCTGGTCCCACCGCGCCCCCTCGATGAATAAACCAAACACGTGAACTCCCTTGTGAGAGGGTTCAAAGCCCTGCAGTGAAAGAAGGCATCACAGAGCATTGTTCACTCCTTGTCACCCACCCCTCTATGGCGGCCAGGTTCCTTAACCTCTTGAGAACTAAAATGGGCAGGAAGATTCTAAATCACATAAGTTAGGTTCGACTGAAAAAGGGCTGCGTGGTTTCTATTGAGCTCTGTGGAGCAGGAAATGCGGTCCCTACAACTGTGTTTTGGGCTGTCCTGGAGGTGGGTGTGTGGCTGACAGTGCTGCTTCTGTTTGCACTTGTGCAGCCCAGCCCAGGAACATGCTTTGTAATTGGAAACCACACATTTTGGAGAGATGTAATTCTCCAGAGAGGCACGCAAGTGAGTGGGAGCCCTTGTCCTTTCCCTCAGTCACAGCCAGCATCTGGCAGGAGGCAGAGGCACTTGTGCTTCGAGCTCAGATGGAAAACAGGCAGGGTAGAGACCATGGCGGCTCCTGGGAAGCCGCCGAGAGGCAGCAGCTGTCGAGGGAGCCTGGGCCGGGAGCTTGGTCTCCTGACCTGTGCCCCAGGACAAAGTAGCGCAGGCAAGGAACTCAGTGTGGTGCCAGCACGGAGCAGACGCTCAGGAGGTGTTAGCTGGGAGACAGTGCAGTCATGCTCACCAGCAAGTCTGATTTCCAGGCAGGATCCTTATTTTGTTCAACTTTCTATTCCCAACAGTTAGCAGAACTTTAGACACATTTTAAAATACACAAATTAATAAATAGTTGAATACGCCTCACACTTAAAACATATTCAAACTTTGATCTCATGTACTTTGTGTTTCCTTACCAAGTGGCTGCTTAATTCTCCCCAAGCCTCCATCATAGGCACTTGCTGTCTGTATCAGGACCCTTGCCATCTGCCCTCTGGGGAGTTCCACTCTCAGTAGATGAAGAGTCCTGTTCCTCATATGCCACCCTTTAAATAGCTCTTTCTCCCGGAGTCTTCTGTCCTCTGGGATGAATTTTTCTAGCCCCATCCTTCTGAGAAGATTTCCAGCTCACATTATTCTGGATGTGCAAGGAAACATCTCCAAGTGCAGTCTGAGAAGCCTGCAAGCTTCTCAGGCCTGACAAGCACAGCCGCCCTACCCTTGAGCCCCAGATACAAGTCCTGGGTGGACCAGAAATCATGAGACCCTGAGGACAGGAGGCAGGCAGACTAGATGAAGGAAACCCCAGTCAGTAATATGCACAATAAAAACTGAACAGAGCACTGCCAGCCCTCAAATCCAGGCCTGCCAGGCTAGCCTCTCGATATTGATGCCAAAATTGCAAATAAACTTAGTTAAGATGGTTCAACCAGAGCATACCTTTAAACTTAATGAATCATCAGCAAAGTAACATAATCATCTGCATAGATTCTGAAAAGGTCTTTTACCACATTTACTTTCTGCTGTTTATCAGAAAACATTAGTACAAGAAACCCTTAAGCAAAGTAAATGAACCCCTCTTCTGATTTAGTGCAGCTAGATTTAAGGGCAGCTCTGCCTCAACCCACTATGTTAGTAAGGCTGAGAACCACCTGGCTATTTCAATGAACAGGAAAAAGCATTTTAAAAAATTCAATGGTTGGGCCAGGAATTTAGGTCAATGGCATTAAGGGCTTGCCTGCAAGTGTGAGGTTGCGAGTTCAGCCCCTGCTACTACAAAAAAAAAGAAAAAAAAATTCAGTGGTTATTTATGAAGTAAAAAAAACTCAGCAACTAGGATGAGGAGGAGGTAACTTCCTAAATCTACAAAAAGCCTACGTCTTAAGTAATGGAGTATCTGAGGGCAAGCTCCCTGAGCTTAAGGAAAAAACGAGATGCCCACTGAAGAGTTTTGACACTAGTAGGAAAAAGTCAAAGTGAGAAAGGTTTAAATGTGGTAAGCAAGGGAAATAAAGTTCTAGATAAGTGTTTGTGATAGAAAGTCTCAGGAGACATAGATTTAAAGAGTGGAACGGGCAGGGGTGTCATGCAGCTTGGTATGAAGCTGCCGTGGTTAAAGAGTGGACAAATCCTGGAACAAAAAAGACTTCAGAAAGGGACAATGACATGTTCTGTACTCAGCTACTCTGGGGGGAGAATGGCCCAGCCTAGCTGGTGACCAGGGGACTGTAGAACCCTACATGAAAGGGAACGGTGAGCTCCCGGGACCAATAGGAAGAGCTGCTAGCATCAGGAGTAGCCACGATTCTTAAGCTGGACCTGAGCAGCACTAAATCAGAAGAGGGGGTTCACTCAGCTCAATTACAGCAAAGCATTTTCCCTCAGCAAGAAACCACTGAGAAAGTGAAAAGAAAATCCTGAGAGCCCATTACCTTGAAGGCTCTCCGGATGAGGCTGAGCTTCCTCTGGATGGCGATGGGGAGCTCCTCCTCACTGACATCGCTGGTGTTGGAAATCACGTGGTGGGAGAAAGTGAGGGAATCCGTGGGGACTCCCTGTGACCTCCCGTGGTCTTGGAGCACAGCAGCAAGAAAAGCTTGGAGAAACACACAGCCCTGGTGAGCCGGGGCTTGCAGTCTTTCCAGGAAGCGATGTGAACACATTTCTCCTGGGGCTTTTGTGATGAAGAAAGGCCACCCACCAGGGATAGCGCTGCTGTTCCTGTTCCCTTTCCCTAGGTGGCCTCAGCACCCTCCAGGTCCTGGAGTCAGTGTAGCCTTCCCTGCCCCTGCACCGCAGCTTCTTCTCACCACTTGTCTGCTGTAGTCCACCACTGTGTGCCCAGGCAACTTTCTGCCCCAGCATCCTCTCACTGGCTTCCTCCTACACTGCCCTCCCTGTGTCTTTGTGCTCTGGCCCTCATGGACTTTGTTCTCTGATGAGCTTTGTAGTCTGCTTCAAGCACATTTTGGACATCACTCATTGGTGAACCTTCTTGCCTTTCAGCAGGTCCCCTATTTGTGCTCCACCAGCACAGAGCCACTTGTGCTCATGCAGAAGGCCACATTCTCGCTTGTCCTTTAGCTATTTACT